TTAAACTTTTCCATGTAGGCACATGGAAGGGCAGGGAGGTGTGCTCTCCCTGCCTTAAGGTTTTCCATGTAGGCACGCGGAAGGACAAGGAGGTCCCAGAACAGAGCCATACTGCCAAATGTAAATTCTGCTTGGAATATAAGATATTTTGACGAAAGTGGTCCTGACTGAAATACTGTTATAGCGATGTTGTACACCCCCAGTTGGTCGGTGATGCTTATGCTCCGCTCCTCAGAGTGGTAGATATCAAGGGGTCTTACGGTAGTATGATCACAGAGCGCTTCAACCCTGCTTATTATTTACCGGTGTCCAGACAACACATCGAAAACATTCAGATTGAGCTAAAAACGGATCAAAACAAGCCGATAAGATTGATGTATGGGAAGACTATCGTGACGCTTCACTTTAGACCAAAAACTTAAAAAGGCAGTGTCTACAAGTATATCATTCAGTATTGTCCGAGCAGCGTTGGTAAGCATGAGAGAGGATCCTCACCGTTTAAATTATTATGAGAGTCAAGTAGGCGGGGCTTTACCCGGACTTTATGGGGCACCTATTATGTACGGATGTGGCTTAGGGTCTCTATTCTCCAAATTGTTTCGCTTTGTGGCCCCTCTGGTAAAGAGAGGTTTTTCTATAGCTCCACATTTTTTAATAAATTATCTTCTAGCAATACCCTTTAAAAGACTTCTTATCATAGGTACAACGACTGCCAGGAGAGGTAAAATGAAACCACCGGACTTGCTTCTTTAGAGTTTGGCGTTTGCTTGTTAAACTGGCATTCTTATTAGCCAGGAGTCTGATGGCTTTTTTTCTGCCTTTTCAGTTTTTTTAACTGAGATGGAGACAAGGGGATGTTACCTTTCAAAAGATTTAGAGCAATCTCACAAAACGTCTGAATAAAGTCAGGAGAACCGTGGCTAAGAATGTCTTTACGTTTCTTGGGTGTAGCGTGATACAAAGCCGTGAGTAAGGGAGCATTTCTTTTTATACGCGCTGACATGATGGTCTAGGCTGATGACTCGGGCACATACACTGTTGACTGCTGATGAGGAAGTACACCCGTCCTCAGTCTGTACTGTTCTGGACAGGTGGGCGTGAGATCTACTATTAAATACCCATGAGGCTCTGTGGTAGCATCTTCAAAACTCTCGCCTCTATGCCTTTTGGGATGGAAAGATTTGATGCGCTAATATATTCATTTGTAATTTATCCCGGGGATTTTTAAACATCACCAAATAATTGCTGTTCAAACTAATGGTGCGACTGTGTTTGCCCTGATGAAAAACATTTTGTGTCAACATCATGACGCTCATGTTTCTGTGATGTCTGTACTGTGTAAAAATCTTGACCACTTCAGGATGGTTGGAGGCTTGAAAAAGAACATCGTCCAAAATAATCAGATGTGTTTGATCGGGAGGGAACAGGTTTTCATCTTCAAAAGAATCAGGTAGTCCTTGAACAAATTTTATCTTTTTATTCATCCTTTGCAATTCACTGTACATAGTTTGAAAGCAGGTATAAATCCATACAATATTTTCAGGTACAACATTCATCACACGTTCACCTTGTCTTGAATTTTGGATGTACCCCTCCACCAGTTCTCTGACGCTGTCAAAGTTTACCTACTCACAACACTCCTGAGTTTATGTAATGCCCTTTGTGCGCATAACTACCTTTCTCTTGGATCTAGTTTGGTAGGCGTAACTCTTGGGACCTGCAGCTACAAACTCCTGAATACTGTCACCATCCAATTCATCGGTCAAATCACCCAGATAGTTACCCACTTCTAGAGGCGTCTCACCCTCCTTCACTACATAGATTAAGTTGTCAATGTAGAGAACTCTCTCTTGCAACTTTTCCAAACATTCGTACAGTTTGAGGCGTGCATGTGCTGTGGTGAATGCTGCAACAAATATGTTACTCTGCTTACTGGGGGGATGTACACAGCTATCGCAGTATCTCCATCGCATTAAAGCCTTCTTGTCGGCAAGCACATTAAAGTAGTCAACTTCATATAAACCTGAAAACAAGAAGCTGAAAAATTCTTCAGGATCAGAGATGATGCTGGTACGATACAAATTGTCTCTCTGTGCAAACTTTCCCCAAAGACAGTTGAGGCATAGTTTGGCAACCTGTCTCTTGACGGGGTTAGACTCAATCTTACACACATCTTGCAGAAAACCCTGATGGATCTGGTAATCTCTGATGTACTTTTCCCTGCTCCCCTGATCTGTCGCTTCAGAGGGGTAGCCGGAAGCCTCCTGCTTACCCTTTAAAAAAGCATGTATGTAGTCTGCAAACACAGAGTCACTACTTTTGTCAAAGAGCCTTTGTAATTTTACCCACTCTGTACCCTACCTCCAGGGCCTTGTTAAACAGTGACCCACACACCCATCAATGATCTCTCCTCATCACAGTGTGTACAGGTACCACTCTGATTGTTGGTTTCTGCACAGGTGCGACAGAGAGGAAAGGTTCATTTACCTCCTAAACTTTTGTGGCCTTGATTAACCCAAAGTAGTCTGTGGGGTCCCCAAAATCTCTGTAGATGATGGTGGGGTGACCTAGGGGGTAAGAACATGTGCTAATTACATAGGGGTACAGAGAAGTGAAGTCCACATAGTGCACCGTTTCACAGGGCCCCGCAGTGTCTCTCAACTTCAAAGCGCTCGTTCTACCGCCATAAAGAGCTTTGCGTGGGCTGAGAGGCTCTGGGAGCTCAAAATCATCCAAATTCTTTTTTACTGCGTCTTTTGATTTTTTTCATCTCCACCCAATCATGCTTTCTCATGACGGTAGGATGAACGTACTCGGCCTCTAGTGTCTGCAGTCTCTGCTCACTATCAGTGTGCAGCTCCCCAAAGGTGACGCCTCTCAGAGGACATGTTCCTGTAGGACTAAAACACTGAGGACAACTGTGATAAAAACAACCGTGAAATTCCCAGACATGTTTTACACCATCAATCTCAGCGTACCCATCTACCGTGTAAGGGCCAATCTGTTTCTCCCCCCTGTTTAGAGCATGCTGTATGAAGATTTTTTGTGTGTACATTACCCACTCTAACCACTGAATCGATGCTGTGGAGAATCTTTTACACTGCTGCATGTAGTTGTTAGGGCATGGCACAGTGAGGGTTTCAGGAGGCAGGTAGTTGGTGAGAAACACCTTCATGCAGGCTGAAGCTATGGTGATGGAGTTGAAAGGGTCCACCCCTGCCTCACTCAGAAAATGGTCTCTGAATTTAACACAACCCTTGGAGAGAATGTCAACATAATTTTTACAGTAGTGCAGAGCTTCCTCCCTAAAGTTAAAGGTACCCTGACAGGCTTCTGTGTACCACCTGTGAAACTCTTCCAACTCACGCACCCCCATGCATTCCACACCATAGGCAGAGGGGGGCGAGTAGGGCCCAACATACCTAAGCTGTGTCTCTGAGCTGAATTTGTGCAGGAAATACCCGTTGGACTGGTCAGTAAAGCCTAAGGCTTTGGGCATAGCGCTAAGACGCATAGGCAGGAAAGAGAGGGAGTCTATGAATTTAAGTTGATAATCAGGCTCCTCAAAACTGAGAATTTTACTCCCTGTCATGAGAATCTGCTGCGGTGCTACACCCTCTTTCAGCATACCCTGTAGGATCAGGTAGCTGTCAAAGCCTCTAGAATTATGCACTATAAAAACATTTCCCCTGTATTGATTGCTCCTGAAATGCAAGAGAAAACGTTTAACACACTCAGCCCCGTAAAACACTTTCTCCACACCCGCCAATGTCTTTGCACACACTAGAAAGGGTACATGCTCACCTTTCTTACCCACAAAGGTTTTCAAAGTCATAAAAGATCAGATCAGGATGCTCTGTCTCCTTGAGAAGGGGTTGAATATAGCACAAATGTGTTTTAGTGTCAGTCAGTAATTTACCCCCACAGATTTTTCACTTTGGGGTGACACAACGATGCACCTTCTTACTGTTGGTCATGTTGATGTAGTAACACAGCTGGCACTTGACATTTTTTCACCTGATCACATAGGCTAAACGGCCGCGTGTTCATAGCGCTCATTTTTACCTCTTTATGTCTGGCGAAACAGGAAAGCGAATGGCACTTTCTGTGACAATCTGAACATTCCACAGGTTTAGGCGGCTGCGTGGGGCAGATGGGGTCGTTGCAGACCTGGCAGTAACCTTTACAACTGTGCACGTAGGAGCAGTTAAATCCTTTTGTAACAATGATTGCAGAAAAATCCAGTGCCCAGAAATGCTTTCAGATATTTTATCCCATAGTAATGATTCTGCAGTAAAAATAAGAACAGAGGTCTAGAACGATCTGCAAAAGTTGTCTCAAAGTGTGAGAGAGGCTTGCCGTGGGTTGTTCTGTAAAACACAACAATTTTGCGTCCCAGAATCTCTTCAAATTTACCCACATCACTAAAAGTAACAGGTGTCTGATCATCCAAACCAACCTGATGCTGCAAATACCTACCCATTTTCACACACTGGCTGTCTGTAAAAGTGGGTTCGAGTGTGTGAGCTTGGCTGGTGGCAAAGCAGGGACGATCACCCCTGTTGTCTACAACATACAGGTGTCGTCTTTTCTTGTCAACACTGTGAAGATACGTCTAAATCTATGCGTGTTAAAGCGGCAGTGCAAGGTATCTCCCATTCCTCCGTCTTCTCTAGACACACCCCTCTCTTCAACAGAACGACCCGCCTCCTTCAGACCCCCACCCTGTTGCAGAGCAGGTAGAATCTGTAAGTCTGAATCTGCAAATGACTCATCCTGGGTGGATCATTTTGATTAGAAAAAGATGGCGACAGATTTTGGTTTAAAAGCAGGAGTGCATTGTCAATGGTTTCAATAGGGTCATAACATTGTTGTCCAGATTGGTCTACAGAAACATCTGTTTCTGTAGGAACCTGGTTTAAAGCCCTGAGAGCATTGTTTAAGCCTTCGAAAGGGTCATTTTCAACAGGAATTTGATTTATATGAGCGATTGCCAAAGCCAGTTCTTCATTCATTTTTATTTTATTTATTTTTTCAATTAAAATAATACCTTGCCTTTACATTTTTTCACATACGGCAACGACTGAGGAAATAAAAGTCTGCATGACTTGACAGAGTAACACTATGGTGTTCATGTGTTGATTGTCAGAGGTTGTTGTTGGTCCACTCCCCGGCTGTACTCCTCCTACAGCAGTTTCTGTAAAAACAAAGATGATAAGAAAACTTTAACTTCTAAACTTTTATGCACACCAATGTAGTCTATGTGTGTGTGTATATATATATACTTCAACTTCAAATAGTCTTCTGGCTGCGTTACTGCTTTGAGGTTTACACAGTGATCTTCCTCAGACACTAGGGTGTCTCGGGAACCACGAGAGGTGTGCGGGATGCTGGTGACACAGACCGGCTTGGAAGAGTCTGAGGTCTCAGGGTTGCTAACAGGTAGTGGGGTGGAGGTACTGCATTGACCTCAGCCTCTGTTGTGACAGCTCGGGGGCCTGTTGAGGTATTTCATAACAAACATGTTTTATTAACCTGTTTCTACGCAGGCCTGTGTGAGTACGCTGTGTATGCAACCCATACGAATATGAGACGTCATCACGGCGGATGACGCTACAGACACGGTAACGTAATGATTGATTAATATGAACGCTGGAGCGGCAAGGTTCAACAACCACCCCTTAGATGACTTAAAGCTAAAAAAACACACAAAAACGCTTCAAATAGTAAAACATTAAAAGTTCTCACCCGGCACGTCTGGTGATCCGTCGGCTTCAGGATCCGGGGTCCGCTGTTGGTTTTGCTGTCTCTCGCTCGATCTGCAAGGCTTGATTTTCGGCTTCTTGAATGGACTCTAAGGCATTTCCATCCCAACTGTCCTCCAGACCGTCACCCAAATCTGTAAGTAGATTTTCACCATTCATATTAGTGTGTTTTTTGTTTGTTTGTTTGTTTGTTTTAAATAGAATGTAAAAAAAATAAATTTAAATAAAACAAAATGTACCTAACACAGTCTGTGTGGGTACGTAACCCGCATCTGCTACTATTTAAAAAGACAAACCAGTTAATAAAAACCATGTTAAAAGTTTAAGATAATAAAACAAATATAGGTTACTTACCAGTACAGGGTGCATATCGGGAATCCTCCTGGTTAAAGTTATCTTCAAAAATACACAAGTTGTATTTAATATATTAAGCAAAGATTAAATATTACAATGAAAATTCAACGGAGAAAAAGTTTTTACCGCAAGACATGTCGTCAGTCTGGTTTGGTCCGCAACAGATAAACTCTCTTTAAGCAGGGGATACTTATAACAGTTGCAACCATATAGATACTATTGAGGCAATTATGTTAAAAAGTTTGCCATCTGAAGGGAGGGGTGGATGACATCTTGAAGTGTCAGATTTTGATTGATCGATTTGACCTTTTTGACCGGGCATAATGGGTAAGCGGGGGAAAGGGGCATGGAAAGGGGCTGGAAAGGGGCGTGGTACCTGTCACTTTATAGTTTGACAAGAAGTGCTTAGATCCCTCTCTCTGACACAGTTGAATTTCTTTTAAAAACTACAAAAAATCTAAAGTTTAACATTTCCGCATTTTGAATTGTGTACTTCAATTCCCAAATGTTCATACTCAGAGAAATCTTTCATTTTATTCAGGTAACGCTGCGTTTCACTGGTCGCCTGTCGATGGCGTCATAACCATCTGTTTGTGGCTGCACCATTCATTCCATCAAATAAATATATTAGATCTATCTTGATATCTTAGATATCTTGTGGGGAGATGGCGAGGTCCCACCCAACTCTGCTTGCAGCTTTCATTATTATTATTACTACAGTTACTATTATTACCATTATCACTGCTCATTGTCCCCCATCGTTGTTGTCATCGTCTTCATGTTCCTCATCATCAGTCACTACTATTAGTGTAGTTGTTGCTACTGTTGTTGCTGTGCGTGTCTCTCTCTCTCTCTCTCTCTCTCTCTCTCTCTCTCTCTCTCTTCACCAACTGGTCAAGGCAGACGACCACCCACCTAGAGCCGAAGGGTCTGTCCGAGGTTTCTGCCTCTTAAAAAGGCAGTTTTTCCTTGGCCCCTTCGCCAAGTGCTTGCTCATGGTGGAACTGTTGGAACTCGGTAAATAATGTTATAAGGAGTTCAGTCTAGACCTGCTCTGTTTTAAAAGTGTCCTGAGATAACTTCTGTTATGAATTGGCGCTATACAAATAAAATTGAAATTGAATGTAAAGTCCACATAATGAGTTTGAGGTCTCTCACACAAATGGTCCTGTGATCTGTCCCTGTGACTGTGAACAGATGCTTACCAGTCACCCCCTACCATAAAAACACAACCCCCTAACCAAAACGTATACATTTACTACCCCTCCTAAAACATTCATCTACCACAAGATACTCACTGACTCCTTCCCTGACACACCTACAGGCATGATAACAACAATTTGTAACAGGTGGGAAAATCTTGTGTTAAGAACAAGGAACAAGGAAATATTGAGAAATGCAACTCTCATGATGGGAAGGCAAGCTCACTGTGAGAGAATGTCTTCCTGGTGCATTTTTTTTAGTTATTGACATTGGGACCCGAAGCAAAACTTTACCTTCCTACCTGACCAAAGGCCACACAGTCAAACTTGACACTACAGTGCTCCCTCCTTCACCCATCAGTGACTAACAACTATATTTAGTATGTTAAGGAAAATCTACATTGAAAATCTGCTGTGGAAACTGTCAAGACACAAAGCTCCTTATGACAAAACCAAAATATATCATATCAACATTTATTCACCCTGAAAAATCATATATTACTCTGCATTATATGACCTCCTCTTCCTGTCAGCTGCTGTTTTGCTGGTTGGAGTTAAACCTGTGACTTATTAGTTCAAACCAATTCTTTAATTCAAACCAGTTGAGTGTATTGACAGTGTGTTAATGTAGAATAAAGTGACAGTGCAGAGAGACCAGAGAGTTAACAGGTAATAGAAATCAAAAACAAAATTAGATCAGAAATATATGCATTTTGTTCCCTCACAATGAAAAACTATGGTTTACATATAAAATTGTGCAACAAAAATGGAGCTTTATAGTGAAAAGGCTTCATTGGTCCTGACTATAAATGTCTTATTGTAATTAGTACTGTACGCACAATATTTACATAATAATAATACTATTATTAAAACTAACATTATTATTTGACAATAATACCTAAGTTATAGAGGTCAGGATGTAGCTACAGGGCAGAAGTCAGTAATGTAGATAGAGGGGATAGGTAGCTCTGTAGATACAGGGCATAGGTTAGTGCTATAGGCAGAGGTCAGTGTGGTAGATACAGGACAGAAGTCAAGGCTGTAGATTCAGGGCAGAGGTGTATAGTGTAGTATTATAAGATAAAGATAAAGCTAGCTAGCTGCATCAAAACAGTAGTAGTACTTTGCAACGCTGCTCGGCTCTTAATGGTATGAATTATGATGATTTTCTATTTTTAATTGAGTTTGTATTTTGTGTGTAGATAGTTGAAATAATAAACGTTATTGTTGGTACTTCACAAATATAAGTGATTTTAGTGAACTAAACCAAATTTTTATTTAATCATGTAGTGCCAAAATTACAGAGACAGAAATGCGTAGTTGAAGTCACGCCAAACCTTGAAAGCTGGGTAAACAGGCTCAGAGAACTTGGTGCGGATGGTATGGATGTGACTCAGTGTGTCAGATGAGGCATTATAGTAAGACAGAGTGCCAGCAGGCCAGTCCAGATACACTCCCAGTCGAGTGCAGCCAGTAGCAGGAACAGGGAAATTGAGTTGGGAACAATTAATATCTGCATAGAGAGTTGGATCTGGTGGGGACCATCTGTGGCCTAAAGCCCAGGACATTGGATTCCCTCCAATCCAGCAGTCGTCGCCTTTTCCTTTCCTTCCCAGCCTTATGTAGGTAACACCTACAGCTACATCTTCACTATAGCCAGTACTCCACTCCACCTCCCAGTAACAGCGCCCAGTCAGACCCTCTCTGCACAGGACCTCAGGATAATAATCAAATCTGTGTGGGAGGTCAGGGTACGACTGTACTGCTCCATGTGTCACCTTCTTGTTTCCATCGGACAGAGTGAGGCTGTTGTGTGCTGTGTCTGGATCCAGAGTGAGATCACAGGCGTCTGATGGAGAGAACGAGATCAGGATTATATTTCAGACTCCATTTACAGCATCTGTCTGGGTTTCTGGCCAAAATTAATTTGTTGATTATTGTGAACATATTTTAAAGGACATCATAGGTTCATATTATTTAATGATTTATTATTAATATGTACAGGTGGAGAGTAACTATTTACTGAAGAACTTTACCTCGGTACAGTTTTGAGACACTTTACTTGAGTATCTCCATTTTATACTACCTACATTTCAGATGGAAATACTGGTATGTTTTTACTACATTTATAATTACATTACTTTATATTACTGTAGCTGTAGTTACTAGTTACCTTACGTTTTACATGAAAAATTACATACAATGACCTTATAAAATAAACACATTGTTACAGATTAAACCAGTGGGTCCAACCAGTAGTCTTGTGTCCCCTCCTCGTCTCCTTTTCACATTTTAGATGTGTCTGACCTGTTTATGAAGTCCACCAAAGAGACCTTCCTCCTCTAAAAGCATTTCACATTGTTTAATTTCGATAACTTTTCAAATAATCCAAAATTTGACTAAAAAGAAAAGATTTTTACTGAACTTCTTTTTCTTCTTTCCTTTCCCATTAAATCATCCTACGACCCCTTCAGATGTATCTGGTGACCCTTTGGAGGGCCACAGCCCCTAGGTTGGGAACCACTGGACTAAACTAGCTAACTGTATATAAAGTAGTTCAAACTAGTTCCACCTGGAGCAGCACCAACAGCAAAATGCTGCTCTAACAATGATGCTGATGTATTAACAACTTAATAATGTTGCATAGTCAGATAACAGTCATGGGAGGAACAAGTACTTTAAGTACATTTTGCTGATAATACTAATACTAACCAGTACCTTCAACCCCGCAGACTAAGACTGGTTTAAACTCCAACCTACAACGCACAAACTTTTTGCAATATTTATATTTAATTTCCACATGTACAGTTTAGTTTTAGTCAAGCTGCTCATATATTTGCACACCATTCATACTTGAATATTGCATAGTGTATATACTTTCATTTACAGTCTTATATGTCTTATATCTAATATTATATTCTGTAATATTTTATTTGTGATATTTTTTGCACTACTTTGCCCTATGCTGCTGTGTCAATTTTGAATTTCTCCTAAGGGGGACCAATAAAGGAAGATCTTATTTTATCTTAAGTACTTTCACTAAAGTAAAGGACATGAGTACTTCCTGTACCACTGTGCATTGATAATACTGTTGGTGGTTTTACTCAAGATGCCTTTCTAAAACAATATCAATGTAAGTGATGACAAAATCCACAGAATTGTTCTAAGAAAATCTCAAAATGTAGTCTGTGAGTAATACAAGGTGTGGCCAAACAAATAAAGCCTAAAAAATAATTTATAAAAAAGTGAAAATAAAGTACTTACACCAGATTAAATCTCTTCTGTCTGTGACAGCCTCCACATTAGTGATGTCAGGCTTTGAGAAATTCTCAGTGACCAGTTTGCCGTCCCTGTAATGGTAGATTGAAGCTCCTTTGTATTTCTCATTGGCAAAGGCTGCAATCAGGAAGCGGAATCTGCTGTTTTTTGTCAAGACTTTGGCAATATCATGGAAAGCTTTGGCTTTTTCTCTCATGTTGGTTAAAACTTCATCTGAGTAGTACCACTGGGCTTCATTGATACTTCCTGCCTCAAGTAGATCCAAGTAGCTGCCCATCTGCAGGGAGGTGAAAACAAAGCATAGAGTATCCTCTACACCTGAAGCAAGAACCTCTCTGTCCAGCTCTGACTGATTTGGGATGATCTTTGTTCCCTGCATTATTTCTACACAGGACCTGATGACGTTGATTTCTCTCTCTTTATGATCCAGCCAGTTGCTTAGTTTCTCATGACTGAATGGTGACATGTCTCTGCCTTCAAAGACTTTTTGTATTTTGCTCCCATTTGTTTCACCTTTACGGATGAGGAGAAGTTCCTTCGCCATGGTCTGCTGGAGGCTAGCTGCATACTGATTACACAATTCTTGGAAAGTGGTTAGATGCTTGTGAATCTGTGGAAAATCCACCACAACTCTGTCATCCAGAGAATCATTGCATCTCATTTCTATTTCCTTTAAATCTTCAAGAGCTTCTTCCACCTTCCTCACTAGCCCAATGCTGATCCCACTCATCACCTCAGCAGCTTTGGAATCCAAATTCTGCAACGGCATCAGCCAGACCTTCAGAGGAACACCATTCTCTCCCTCTTCTCCCAGTAGCTTTGGAAGTTCTGCATAGGTCTTCACTGCTTGTTCAAATGTTCCAGGGTTGCTGTCAAGAATGAAGTCTCCGTAGAATTTGCAGGAGAATTTGTTGGTCAGAGCTTTTTCTTCATCAGTCAGCTTGATGTCAACTTTCCCCTCAACATTAAATGCAGGGATTTTCTTTATCACAGCTTCCATGCTACGCTGAATGTCCTGAACGCTGCTGGCTTCTAACTTCTCACTGTCAAACACAAAGAGAGCATTCGACCCATAAAGGATGCCTGTGACTACATGTGTTGCAAATCCCTTTTTAATAAGATCTTTCTGTTTCCCCCAGTCAGAGTTGGCCGATGTGGCCAGGGAAAGAGAAGTTTGGGGTCCTCTGCTGTACTTGCTACCCCCGCGACCCGATCCCGGGCAATCGGATGAAGATGAGATGAGATGAGAGCTGAGATGTTGGGTGTCAAAGGTTTCAAGGTCAATCATTAACAACTGTTTAAACTTGGTGGTGGCTTTGTACTGAAACGTCACCCTGCTCTGATTTCTGAATTTCTTTGTATCATTCAGATATTTGGCAGATCCTCCAACTTCAATCAGTCCACCCAGGAAACTGGCCTTCAGAGAAGTGTTAATATCCAGCAGAGAGGACTTGGATTCAATGGAGTCTGATACAGAAATCTTTATTGAACTGCTGGGCTGAGTGCTTTCAACTGTGTTCTCTTGTAGAGTTGTATGATCCCACAGAGTCAAACCTAAAGAAATCATGAAATACCAGTCATCTGATAAAGCAGGGAAACCATTGTGTTAATATATAGTCACATCGAGCTATATCATATTCAGATTTCTTCACCTGTAGCTTCTTATCCCGCCAGCAGTTCCTCAAACAGCTTCTATATTTATGTATTTGACATGAACCTAATTAATAAAGGAATTACAGGTTTGGAATTTAGCCTTGTGAGTATGATTTACAGAAAGTTACATGCAAAGATGCAAAAGAGAACATAGGTGAAGACAATGTCTTGGGGGCAGTTCCCTGGTTTCCAAAGGTTGCTAGTTCCTGGTTTTCTTTTGGTTCTGGTGGAATCAGTGTTAACTGTTTGACAGCATTTTCCACTTTGTTTGAGCATGACATGCCTCCAGATGGACAGGCATATGGTGTATGGTGCATGTGAGGATAAGTTACAGGAAGTACCAGTTTGCCGTCCCTGTAATGGTAGATTGAAGCTCCTTTGTATTACTCATTGGCAAAGGCTGCAATCAGGAAGCGGAATCTGCTGTTTTTTGTCAAGACTTTGGCAATATCATGGAAAGCTTTGGCTTTTTCTCTCATGTTGGTTAAAACTTCATCTGAGTACTCTTACCTTGGATCAGTTCATCTTTCCGAGCATCATAGAGCATCCCTAGGATGAAAGGTCGACCCAGGGCAGCAACCATCAAGTGATCTGAGGCCATTTTTCCAACCTGTTGAGAAATGTTAAGTAAGTTAGTTTAGTTTTTTAATTTTTTAGTTTTAGTCAAGTTTAATTTTCTGCTCATATTTTGCACTCCATGTCCTAGAAACCAGAGGGTTCATTAGTCACATAACATAATTTAACACGACCCCACATTTTCATACTCGGTATGGTCGCTGGGTAGGTACCCTCTCAGGTGATATAACCTTCGTGATCACTGATATACATCCAATAAAACACTTGATTAATGTTGTAATGGTATTTAAATAACTTATTTGAAATGAAAGTACTAATTTATTATTTATTCATTATTCAAGAAAACAGACATGTCTCCTCCATCAGCATAAATGCTGACTCCATAAAATACATCTTGTTATATTTTTTTATTACTGCATAGTCATGGCGGTAGCCATTTTGTTTTATAAAGTTGCTAAGGGTTCCAAGCAGCAACATCACTGGAACACTATTTGTTGTGGTTCTTTCATTTTTCCGCTAAAAGACCTTACTTTAGAGACCTAAATACACTTAGATTGGCCTAAGGGTTGCAAATTCCACCCACTACTAAGACGGGTAAAATGATTGACCTCAAGGTGTGGCTACAATGATCAAGTTTATGTTTTTGTAATTATCTCAAATAGCTTGGCTTACAGTAAAGATTCTTTCATCATTTTAATCGTCTGCATATTTTCTGTATTAGACTCAGTTTTCTCAAAAAACAATTTTTGACATCTCCTCCTAAACTGAATGGCCTGAAACTGAGTCAGAATCATCTACTTTGCTGGCCTTCATTTTTTTTAAAGAAATTTCAATAATCAGTGGTATCAGTCTGTGTTTTTTTTATCAAAATAGAAGAGCAAGGGGTTACAAAAAAAACTCTATCGGGACATCCCTAAATTTAATATATGAATGATGGTTTAAATTGATATAAAACAACTACAAAAAATAATAAAGGTACTCTTATCAGGGTTTCACCGATTGCTGGATCTATTTTAAGCTTTATGTTTATATCATAGCCTTATTTATTGAACCATTAAAAACATTGCATATTAAGTATTAAAATTAATTACTTACTTTACTTAATTATGACTTGAACAGTTTATATATTGGCAGGCAACATGTGCAACATATATATCCCCTCAGTCTCTTAGGCTACGGTCACACTGCAGGTCTTAATGCTCAATTCCGATTTTTTTGCTGAGATCTGATTTTTTTGTGTGGTTGCCCATTATAATTTAAATGGGACCGACGTCAGACTCCAGTGTGAACAGTCTATGGCCCCGAAGTGACCCACATGTGCAGAAGAAGATGTGACGTCACAGGCAGCATGCTGTGTTTACCAGTGATGCCGATAACTCCAATCTGACCACTTCTTTCAGTAACGAGTAATCTAACGCGTTACTATTTCCAAACCGGTAAACAGATTAAAGTTACTTATCCAAGTCACTGTGCGTTACTATGTTTGTCATTTTCCTTAATAAAAATATATTTGCTTTCTTCTTGCGTCTCTGGGAGTGAAGTCACGTAGCCTATGCGACAAGTCACGTTTTCAGCATGAAGACAGTTCACGTGTAGGCTACGCAGACACAAACATTAACAACAATGGAGGGAGGAGAGAGATGCGCGTTTGCTAGCTGGAAATACAGTCACTATTTTGAGTTTGTGTCAGCTATAGTGATGGGAATTCCGGCTCTTTTTAGAGAACCGGCTCCTTTGGCTCGGCTCACTAAAAAGAGCCGGCTCTTTCGGCTCCCAGGTGGCTCCTCATATTTTTTTTTGCTTAAATTAATTTATTACCAAATTATGTGTAAAATGAATATCTAATGTAAATACATGCATTATATCAAATGTTTAGTATTTATATGGATTAATTAATATACTCAACATGGAACAGAGTGCTACAAAAATAAATTTTAAAACACAAAAACAAAGACCCATCTTAATTAGACAAAAAGCTGCTTGATATGAAATGTTTAACTTTGCACAGTCTACACTCTGCCTTTGAACTATCACATTAAAATGTGTCCAAACTTTACTACGTTTGCTGTCACTCATTTTCCTCGCCCTTTCCAGTGTGTAGTCTCTGTCTATGTAGCGCCAAGGTCTCTCGCTCTCACATCTCCCTCCCACCGGTTCACGTGCTCACTGTGCCGTGTGTGTCTGTAACCCCTCCCTTCCCCTCCTGCTCAGTGTAGATACACAGATGCCGCCACACATCTTGACCAATCACGCGGCTTTAACAGGAAAAAACGGGAAAATCTGGAAAAAGAATCCGGATCTGGCTCCCAATCAGGAGCCGGCTCCCGTTGTTCACTTCAAAGAGCAGGCTCTTAGAGCCGGATCGTTCGCGACCGACCCATCACTAGTCAGCTAAAGATGGCAATATTAAGGTTTGTTGTACACTCTGTGCTGGTGGCGACAAAAAGCTATCTAGCTACAAAAACACTACGTCAAATTTGAAGAAACATTTGGAGTCGCAGCACTGCACAGTCAAACTTACAGAGCAAGTCCCACCAGGTGGTACGAAGCAGAGAGCAGGAGGTCCCCCACCACCCAAATAACAAAAGCTGGACTTCGTGCAAAACCAGTAAGTGGGGGAGAGTTGAAGAAGTTGGTCGGGCAGTATGTTCTAGAGGAAATGCTACGTGTGGTGTTATACACTTGTCTTGTTTTGTAAAACCACTCCTTGCTGCTCTAATGCTGTGAACAACAGGTACAATGTTCATAAAACATGTTAAAAAGAATTTAATAGTTACATTTATAAACAATGTAGATTATAAATAGTAAGTTTTGCCATTACAATGTTAACAGTTAAATATGTCAGGTCAAGAAAGACTGTCTTTATTTTATATTTTAGAAAAACAAGTAGGCTATTTATGTTAAGTGAATTCAAGAAAAAGAGACTGTCTTTATTTTATTTTTATAAAAACATGTATTTTTTTCAGGAAATAGTTTTAAGTTCAGCTTAAAATGTCAGGAGATACATTGTTGACGTTACTGTTAAAAATGTCTTTCCAATAAAGTGAGTGCTGGCAAAACCGGTTGTCATTTTTATGTTGAGGTGGCGGGGGTGTTGTCGGCAGCTGCTGAACGTAACTAATAAAGTAACTTGTAGTCTAACTTAGCTACTTTTAAAATCAAGTAATCTGTAAAGTAACTAAGTTACTTTTTGAAGCCGTAATCAGTAATCAGATTACTTTTTCAAAGTAACTGTGTAATATGGATTCTACACATGTCAGCGTGTGTGTATCAATTTTGAAGTTGTTGTGCAATCGGAGCCGACAGAATTACGATGATGATTATGATATTGCTGCGTCCCACCTCCTTCGGCATCTAATTGTGACGTCTGTCTCACTTCAATGACATAAAAGTCGGATGAAATGCGACATGGCCGTTCCGATTGAGGTCGCTTTGAAAAACATCAGCTAGGTATCTGATTTAGGACCACATATGAAAGTGGATCGGATTTGAAAAAAATCGGATTTGTGCTGTTCGGACTATCATCAAACAATCAGATATAGGTCACATATGGGCAAAAAAGTCGGATTTCTGAGCGTCATTGTTTGCAACAGACTTAAATGTGGTGGGTACATTTTTATTTCTAAACGTAATTTCTTATTACACTATTTGTAGTCTACTTAATTCTCAACCTTATTTTTGTGTGTTAGTTTTGACTCTCAAAATACTTTGTGCCTCCCTCTGCTTCTCTCTCCATATACAGACTGTCTGTGTTGGTCATTGGTAGGTTTTATAAAGTCACCTAAGAAAGACAACTCATGTTTTGAAGGTTTTCACCTGCAATGCAGCAGTTTACTTAATGCATTGAGCAAGTCTAATGTTGGAATTTTCATTAACAATAAATAATTTCTTCCTCTTAGCCATATTGAAGGTTGACCTATGACATGATGCAGCTCTATCACTCATGGTTGTAGGCAGAAGATGTTGCCAATAGCAATATAGAATATCTAATTTAATTATCTAAACGCATGAAATTAGTGTGAAAATGAATTTACCCCTCTATAGAGGTACATTTTACCCGCTGGCATTTATAGGTATAAATGCCCATTATTTATTTAACAATGAGGAATGCTATATAAAACACTTTTAGTAAAAGTCAAAGACTGAAAAAATTGAATATTTTATTTGAACAAAGCGGGTACATTTTACCTATTGGCAGTGACTTCGCCTATTGAAAACCAAACTGTTGATTTACCTGCTCTGTGCTTGTTAAACATCCTTCAGATAACGTCTCTCTGCCTGTTTCTCTACAAAATGCTAAAATGAGTTCCTGGCCATTAATATACGGTCAGCCACAGCCTGTCCAAGTAAATCTGTGTGTGTCAGAGACTGAATAACCTTCCTGTGGAATAAAATAATTGCATCAGCTGATCGAACCTTCACAAATACGTATCAAGACGTCTCCGTAATGTTTATTTATATATTCTTTTGGAACCAGTAGTTTCTACATCATTTTCCATATTCAAAGTGAGCACTATGGGGAATGACAATGTTGACAATGTTCAACAGTCAATGTATGTGACTGTTGAAAACAATGCAAATGTCAATCAAATAAAATGTTATCGGTCTTATATATCATGGTCATTTTTAATGTGTTTGTTATTACGTCCAGCTTATAAATGATACAGTCTGAGGTAATGGGTGACACCCAGCTCGAAGTAGTGTGGAGTTAGTTGTGACAGAACGCAGTGCGCCAACATACAACATCTGTATTTACCATCAGTCATGTTTAATATTAAAATGTAGACATTTATGTCACACATTATCATACAGATATTCTACACAGTTCGGTAGTTTAATTCATTTCAATTTTATTTGTATAGCACCAATTCATGACAAAAGTTATCTAAGTGGACTTTTCAAATAGAGTACGTAAGTCTGACATGCCACAATTTAGTGGATTTTTGAGTAAATCGGACAAAGATTTATAATGTTGTGACAGTCACATTGGTAAATTCTGCACAACAATAAAACGTGAATGCATGTAAAATGTGATAGAAAGGAGTTGTCATATATTGTGACAATACAATATAAAGCATCACAATACATGTATTTCCTACCTTTCATTATTTCAAACTTTAATACGCAAAGTTATCAATGGTAGACAGATGTTGTATCCCAAGTTAATCTGGGCATATCATGCTCCTCTTCAACATGGTTATACTATATAACACAACAATTCTGTCACATATTACATGTATTCAGGTTTTATTTATTTATATTTTCACTTTATATTCATTCCAGTTTACTAAAAAATCCCACAAAGTTGTGACATGTGAATCAGATTTATATAGTGCAGACCCTTTACTGATTACATTTATTTTTTTATACAATTATCCAATTTCTGTTCCTATTTGCAAATGAGATTTGACAGATGTCTGTACAGTATCATGGCTCGTGAGTAAAATAAACATAATCAATGGTAAGCTGTCACCAGTTATTCGAAATCTTTGCATTTTGAATTTAATCCCTAGGCCTAACACTAGCCAGCTAGCTTGCCATGATATGTCACTGACCGCCAGTTGAATAGTGTAAAGGCAGCATTAACCCCGCCCACCCTATGGTCATTTGAACTTTTATTATGTGATGGTCTCTCTGTCCATTTGTCTGTTTATTTAATTAATTTCAATATTGTCATAAATAATAAGATCTTTTAAACTAGGGATAATACTCCCATACAGTATATTGTACACTTAAAGTACATTAAAGTTAGTAAAATCAATCCAGTGTATATTCTTGACAAATAAATAGCTCTGTATTGCATTAAGAAACAAGATGCCTGCATCAGAGCCTTTTCTTTTCCACTGTAAAGTATAAAATCTGATCTGGTCACTGTCTGAGTTTCTCTCCAGTGTTTGGTGCTTCAGTGCAGCCTTTACCTGATCCACTGAATGAACTGTCTGTATTCTGCTGACGTCTCTACATCTTTTGCACAGATGTCATTAACTAATCACTCGTATTGGTGTTTTGTTCGCAGGAATTTAGTTGCACTTGCAATGGTGTGTTGAGTGTGGTTGTGTCTGCTCTTTACCGTCTCTCCTCCAAGCACAGGAAGCCCCGTCTGCTCTGCTCTCTCACACACAGAGCTCAGAGTGGAGGATACAACAGTGATGGCTGACGGAAAACAAAAGATTGGATTGGATCAATAAAGATCAATATAGCCAATACCGATCAGAACATCTGATCCAGAAAACCCCTACTTGCAACTAACTCACATTTTTTTCCTGATTATGCTGGGTGTGGTAGCTTCATATGTAGTTGGCACAGGCACATCGACACAGTCATCTACTTTACCAAAGCCTCTTAAATCAAACTCCAGGTTTCTGTCACTTCAGTTTGCCCTCACCTGGTGGAGTTGTGCATATCAGCTGAGTTGTGTGTCTTCTTGACTTCTGACTAGCCTAGTCATATGATCTTCATGGCTCATTGAAGAGGAACTGCTCTTCAACTGTAAAGTGGGCGGGATAAAGCGTCAACAGCAGGAGGAAGTGAGAGAGAGGCATTCTGTTCCTGTTACATCATCTGTAAGCTGCCTGTAGTTCACTCTGTGTGTGAGAGCAGAAGCAGCCACATGTATCTTCCTGTGCTTGGAGGGGAGAGACAGTAAAGAGCAGACACAACCACACTCAACACACACTGCAAGTACGACTAAAGTCCAGCAAACAAAAAGGCCAATCCGAGTAATTCATTAAAGGAGTCATATTATGCCCCTTTTCAGGTTCATTATTGTATTTAGTGGCTCTCCTATAATAGGTTTAGATGCTTTAATGTTAAAAAAACACATTATTTTCCTCATTCTGCCTATAACTGAGCACCTCTCCTCAGCCTCTGTGTGAATCGATCGGTTTTAGCTCCTGTCTCTTTAAGCCCCCCTCCAGAAAAGCCCAGTCAGCATTATAAACGCTGATGACGCTCCGGCCCCTCCCACTTCCCCCTCAGTGTTGCTGTTGTTATGGCAGGTAGCTCCTCACTGTTACTGAGTTTATCTGCATTTCTACCATCAATATTAATTCAATAACTGCTTCTAAAGCAAAAACCTCACCAGCGGACATGTTAGAGCGGGAGTCTGACCTGAAATCACATAGAAATGAACAACATCAACAATCAGGATTACAGCTTTCTGTGACGTTTTCCTCAGGTAAATATATATATATATATATATATAATTAACCTCTATCCATCACATATTATTAGTGTTTATACCTTAACTATGAGAACCAACACTGTGTTTTATGTCTTTCCAGGTACAGCAGTGAGCAGTGACCTACAGTCTACACAGCCCAGTGAAGTTAAACATATTATATATTCCATAATATTAACAACATTAGTCAAGCAGTTGTTTCTAGTGAAGAAACAGCCAGTAAATGTACCAAAGTAATCAGAGTAATAGTATAATGATTACTGTAACCTCCCATCTGTTATATTCTTTATACACATTAGTTTACTGAGACCATGGAAACAGAAACCTGGAATACTTTATCCTGTACAACATGTCAACATAACTGAAGGAATCACTCATCTAATAAAGTCAATTGTTTATGGGGTTGAAAAACTGCCAAGTAACCAACTTGATAAGTTAACCTTCAGATATTTGTAAAAGCTGCAATTATGTTTGAACCCCTTTCAATATATATATATATATATATATATATTAATATTGTATTATTTATATTATATATTATGATGTCATTTATCTTCCAACATAATAAAGTTTGAATGTGAGACAGTAATGTATTGTGTTGCTTACAGTCATTAATACAGGTTTAAATTCCACATTTTCATATTGATAGATGTTACACGAACCAGGTTTTCAAAACTCTTCTTAAAAGTAAAACACTTTATTTATGTTTCATTCAAATTCCAGTTACACATGTTGCAAGTAACAAAGCTCAAACTTTTATGTAAACTGTGCAGATCGTGTCCTTCAGACTGTCCTGATGCTGCAGCTGTCTCTGTCCTCTGATGGGTCCAGGAACACCTGAGCTTCATCAGCTCACCTGTAAAACATGGAAGATTCAGTTTTACTTGTAAGACAGCATATAATATACAGTGTAATATAATACAGTGTAATATAATACAGTATAATATAATATACAGTATAATATAATACAGTATAATATACAGTATAATATAATATAGTATAGTGTACCGCGCTCCTGGACCGTACTCTGATTTTATATCTGAATTCTCAGAGTTTTTATCAAGTTCAGTCCTTAAATCAGATAAAGTAATTATTGTAGGTGATTTTAATATTCATGTGGATGTTAACAATGACAGCCTTAGTAACGCATTTATATCATTAATAGACTCAATTGGCTTCTGTCAGAGTGTAAATAAACCAACTCATTGTTTTAATCACACTCCTGACCTTGTTCTATCATATGGCATTGATATTGAACATTTAATAGTCTTCCCACATAATCCTTTCCTATCTGACCATTATTTAATAACTTTTGAATTCATACTATTAGATTATAAGCCATTAGGCAAAACTTCCTACAGCAGATGTCTATCTGACAGTGCTGTAGCTAAATTTAAGGAGGAGATTCCTTCAGTGTTTAATTCAATGCCATGTCTGAATTTAACAGAGTCCTATAACGACTTTAATCCCTCCGAAATTGATAACCTTGTTGATAGTGCTACAGGCTCACTACGATCAACATTAGACTCTATCGCTCCTATAAAAAGGAAATTATTAAAACATAGGAGACTAGCACCTTGGTATAACCACCACACCCACCAAGCAAAAAACAAGGAAGTCGGAAAGGAAATGGCGCTCTTCCAAATGATCAGAATATCGCTCAAATTGGCAAGATAATCTTAAAATTTATAGAAAGGCCCTCCGTAATGCCAGAGGAGCCTATTACTCAGCACTAATAGAAGAAAATAAGAACAACCCTAGGTTCCTCTTCAGCACTGTAGCCAGGCTGACAGAGAGAAAACTTTTATTCGTCGGTTTGACTCCACATAAAGCCTAGTGAGCAACCCCAGCTGCTGGGTGCTAATCAAAGTTACAGAATATTACTAAACTAATGAATCCCTGCAGTTTGACTATTTCTCTCTCACTGTAGCTCTATTGTTTAACTCTGGTGCACGTAGATCAAGTTAATTTACACACCGTAACACACACACACACACACACACACACACACACACGGTGTCTTCTTCTGATCACAGCTGTATTGATCCACACGGTGAACAGATACTGAGCTACCCAGCAGATAATAAGTTACCAGGTTAAAGACAATTAAACCTAACTGACGTTATCTTCCCGGTTCTATGCAGCTCAGCGAGCTAACAGCTGATGAGCAGCTACAGTTTGTTCACTCGGAGGTTTTCTGCTCTTTCTAACAGCGACACAAACATATTACTGACTGAGCACGTTTAACAAAATACAGACCAACATAAAACAATTACCTCCGGACACAAAACCCACAACAGTTACGGAGTTACAGAGGTTACCGATGTTGTGAAAACAGTCCGACACGAAGGTTCAGACACGAACTAAGTCATTTTTTTTCACACTTTGCCTGCTGATAGGCCCTCCAGAGTCCCAAATGTACATAATCAAATGATTAGAAAGTTGGGTTTGCATGTCCCCTTTAATAAAGATCTTTTCTACCAGTGCTGATCACTGGTAGATTTAAGATTTAAGAGTAGCAAAAAAGTGTCCATATGCATTTCTCTTTTATTTAGATGATGATGTTTTATATTTTATTTATCTTGGTTAAATTTATTCCAAGACATTAAAATACATTCATTTTGAATGTATTTTTTAAAACTTTTTTTTAAACATTTAAATAAAAATGATGTTTTGAACATCAGCTCTAGAAGAACATCATGAACAACTTTATGTAACTATCTTATAAACAAAGATAAATTACTGAAAACACCTCAAACCATGTTTATATTTAGTGTGTGAGGGGAAGGGGTTCTCATGCAGTGCCTATGTCTCATTATAATTGTTGATCTTGAAGAAGGCCTGAAGGCTGAAATGTCATCGTCTGAATAAAAGAGAAATGCATATGCAGCAACACTCTTTTCCTACTCTCAAGGATCATCTGGCATTACTGTCTTTTGAAGGCATTAACGTCTACAAACATCAGCATATTGTCAAACTGGTCCAATGTGCAGGGAAAGTGTGTGACAAAAAAACATGGATGAGCTGATGTAGTTGATGATCTGTCCACTAGATGGTGCACATCATCCATCACCATGTACAGTGAGCCCAGTGAGGACCATTCACAAGTAAAGTGTGTAGAACAAACACTTCAACTTAACACTTAACTTTGATTCAATCATTGGTTACGCCTGCAGGAGTTTATAATTGGTGTTTAAAGCTCAGGGCCCATAACCACATGGTCTAGTTGAGCTGGGTCAATATCTGATTTGTTTTTTAGATGTTTAACAATTATGACCTCTCTTCCTTCTTACTATTAATGATTCAAAGTGTTGGTAGTTCAGGGGATAGACAACAGGGCCTCAGTTTATAAACTCTCTGCTTGGTCATGGTTTGAATCATTGAATTATTTAAGAAAGTTTTGTCAAACTCTCTGAGCTAGTTTGACACATATGTAGGTCTTCAGTCAGCCTCATCATTGATTCTGTTGTGTTCAGTAGTGTTTCTCCACACACCCTGTGGGAACTGCAGAGACAGTGGTTCAACTCCTGATGGCTCTGCATTGTGGAGCTTTTGTACTGAGATATTTCAGGCAATTCATGTCTGCAATTTCAGTAACTCTTTGAAAATAACTTTAGCTCACCCTGCATTTTCACCAGGAAATGCATTTCCCACTTGTTTTTCTTCTTCCAAATGTACTTTGGACAATTGCAGATAGACTCATAATTCAAATGTTCACATATAAAGCCTTTTGTATTGAACTGTAACAAAAGGTTGCTTCACTGCAAACTATGGTCTCTTCAAAAGTCTGTCAGTTTTTCAAAATGTGCAAAATCAACTAACATCTATATCTCCACAAGTCTTGATTCAAATGCTATCAAAATCCACACAGACATTCTTTCACTGTCTCGAATGCCGTTCAGTTCAAATGATGATGACAATATTTACATAATAATAATAATAATATTAATAATAACATTATTATTTGACAATAATACCTAAGTTATAGAGGTCAAGATGTAGATACAGGGCAGAAGTCAGTAATATAGATAGAGGGGATAGGTAGCTCTGTAGATACAGGGCATAGGTTAGTGCTATAGGCAGAGGTCAGTGTGGTAGATATAGATCAAGGCTGTAGATTCGGGGCAGAGGTGTATAGTGTAGTATTATAAGATAAAGATAAAGTCTTTTTATTGTCATTTTCACAGGATATACAGAATTTAACATACATGAAATGAAACTTTTCCCTCTGCATTTGACCCATCCTATATACATTACTATATACATTAGGAGCAGTGGGCAGCTGTAGGCGCCCAGGGAGCAGTTAGGGGTTAGGTGCCTTGCTCAAGGGCACCTCAGCAGTGCACAGGAGGTGAAACTGGCACCTCTCCAGCTACCAGTCCACACTCCATACTGGACTTGAACCAGCAACCCTCCAGTTCCAAGGCCAAGTCCCTACACACTGAGCTACTGCTGTCACATATTAGCTTTTTGATACAGTATTCGTCCAAATGTGGGTGGTATCTTCAGATGTGAATCACAAACACTTCTGGCTGGGACTCTTTCAGAAGCTGTGTCTGTGAGCAGCAATAGCGGTGGCAGAAGCAGATGCAGCAGTGACACGCATTTTCTTCAGGAAACGCAAATATTCTAACTTTGGTTCAAATTTGACATTCAGGATTATGAGGACGATTGAGCCTAAAAATGCTTTTTGTTGGTGTGGTGTGCTCATTCCTTGGTTATTTTCTCTGTGAATCTGCCCTTGCTTAACCCTCTGAAACTCTGCTGAAACAGAACTTAGTAGTTGGAGTAGGGATCCTAAAGTTTTCAAAGATACCAAATATTTCAGGATGAAAAAAGAAGGTTTTGCTCTGTGTATGTTCAAACAACTGCAGTCTTAAGGCTGGAAAATCATCTGATTCCATCCTGACAAATTTTGTATTTTTGGAAAGCTTGGGATCTTAAAGTTCTCAGGGTTTAAACAAAGCTTATCTGACCATACTGTTACATCTGTTAGACAATGTTCACCAAAGAACACCACAGGAGGTATTTTCTACCAGTGGTGATTTATTAAAGGACTGTACTTGTATAAACCGTTGGGTAGTTTCATTTATAACATCTTATTCTATAAACTCTATATATGTTTGTGTGAAAAAGTCTTTATTTGTTATGTGTCAGATCAATGTAGTAGAGACAAAAATGTCTTGCAGTATTGTCACATTTTATTAATACTCAGAGCATAGTACACAAGACAAAGGTTAGTTCATAATGTGCACACTGAAGACAAGTTGTTCACAACTTTAATACCTTTGCAGCAATCTCATCTTATTTATTTCATCCTGGTAATATTCCCTTCGACCAAAGCCGGTCTTATCTGGTCTGTTCTTATCTTAAGGCACTGTGGCAATTTACTACCCTCTTACAAACTATCTGGCCTGGCCTTTCTGAGGATTATTTGTGTGATATGTGTAATTTCCCCCACAATCACCATGATTAGATGTGCAGTAAAGATATTCAAACATGATTACATGTGCAATTAAGATATTCAAACTTGATTAAGATAACAATATAGCAAAATGAACACCAGGAATTAGGAAAATCCACTCAACTCAGTGGAATTCATTCACCCGCTCACTTCTGTCAATTTGAAGTTCATCGGGGAAAAACAGCTGGTGCACCTGTGGAGTAGGGCTGTGTATGTATGTGCTATAACTGGGTAATCAAATATGATTATCAGAAAACATTTATTCAAGCAGGCGTCGAGCTCTAGAAGAGTAAACTCTAGTTTCATTTGAAGGTGGAGGATAATTAAGGGTTACTTATCTTCACACCCACCACACCCCTGCTCCGTAGTTCTCTTACAGTCAGAGCTAACTTGCTAACTGCATCAAAACAGGAAGGAAGAGGTAGTAGTACTTTGCAACACTTGCTGCTTGGCCCCTAATAATATGATAGGGTTGGCTTGAGTTTCGATTTGTATTGGAGTTGTATTTTGTGTGTAGATAGTTTGCATATGAAAAGGAAAGCGATATGATTTATCACATTGTTACGTGTGACTGACATTTGAATTGAATCATGTTGAGCCAAGTTTACAGAGACAGAAATGCGTAGTTAAAGTCACGCCAAACCATGAAAGCTGGGTAAACAGGCTCAGAGAACTTGGTGCGGATGGTATGGATGTGACTCAGTGTGTCAGATGAGGCATTATAGTAAGACAGAGTGCCAGCAGGCCAGTCCAGATACACTCCCAGTCGAGTGCAGCCAGTAGCAGGAACAGGGAATCGGAGTTGGGAACAATTAATATCTGCATAGAGAGTTGGATCTGGTGGGGACCATCTGTGGCCTAAAGCCCAGGACATTGGATTCCCTCCAATCCAGCAGTCGTTGCCTTTTCCTTTCCTTCCCAGCCTTATGTAGGTAACACCTACAGCTACATCTTCACTATAGCCAGTACTCCACTCCACCTCCCAGTAACAGCGCCAAGTCAGACCCTCTCTGCACAGGACCTCAGGATAATGATCAAATCTCTGTGGGAGGTAAGGGTACGACTGTACTGCTCCATGTGTCACCTTCTTGTTTCCATCGGACAGAGTGAGGCTGTTGTGTGCTGTGTCTGGATCCAGAGTGAGATCACAGGCGTCTGATGGAGAGAACGAGATCAGGATTATATTTCAGACTCCATTTACAGCATCTGTCTGGGTTTCTGGCCAAAATTAATTTGTTGATTATTGTGAACATATTTTAAAGGACATCATAGGTTCATATTATTTAATGATTTATTATTAATATGTACAGGTGGAGAGTAACTATTTACTGAAGAACTTTACCTCGGTACAGTTTTGAGACACTTTACTTGAGTATCTCCATTTTATACTACCTACATTTCAGATGGAAATACTGGTACGTTTTTACTACATTTATAATTACATTACTTTATATTACTGTAGCTGTAGTTACTAGTTACCTTATGTTTTACATGAAAAATGACATACAATAACCTTATAAGATAGACACATTGTTACAGATTAAACCAGTGGGTCCAACCAGTAGTCTTGTGTCCTCTCCTCGTCTCCTTTTCACATTTTAGATGTGTCTGACCTGTTATGAAGTCCACCAAAGAGACCTTCCTCCTCTAAAAGCATCTCACATTGTTTAATTTTAATAACTTTTCAAATAATCCAAAATTTGACTAAAAAGAAAAGATTAAAGCTTTTTACAAAACTTTTTCTTTTCCTACGACCCCTTCAGATGTATCTGGTGACCCTTTGGAGACCACAGCCCCTAGGTTGGGAACCACTGGATTAAACTAGCTAACTGTATATAAAGTAGTTCAAACTAGTTCCACCTGGAGCAGCACCAACAGTAAAATGCTGCTCTAACAATGATGCTGATGTATTAACAACTTAATGTCACAGAAACAAATACTTTGATACTTAAAGTACATTTTGCTGATAATACTGATACTATAAGTATTTTCACTAAAGTAAAGCACATGAGTACTTCCTGTACCACTGTGCATTGATAGTACTGTTTACTCAAGATGCCTTTCTAAAACAATTTCAATGTAAGCAATGAGAAAACCAACAGAATTGTTCTAAGAAAACCTAAAAATGGAGTCTGTGAGTAATACAAGGTGTGTCCAATCAAATAATGCCTATAATAATTGAAAAAAAATATTATTTTCACTGTTCTATAAATAATAACAAAGTACTTACACCAGATTAAGTCTCTTCTGTCTGTGACAGCCTCCACATTAGTGATGTCAGGCTTTGAGAAATCCTCATTGACCAGTATGCCGTCTTTGTAATGGTAGATTGAAGCTCCTTTGTATTTCTCATTGGCAAAGGCTGCAATCAGGAAGCGCAATCTGCTGTTTTTTCTCAAGACTTTGGCAATATCATGGAAAGCTTTGGCTTTTTCTCTCATGTTGGTTAAAACTTCATCTGAGTAGTACCACGGGACTTCATTGGTACTTACTAACAGAAGTGTATCCACATAGTTGCCCATCTCATCCAGGACGGGGTCAGCAGTCTCCAGGGAGGTGAAAACGAAGCACAGAGCATCCTCTACACCTGAAGCAAGAACCTCTCTGTCCAGCTCTGACTGATTCGGGATGATCTTTGTTCCCTGCATTATTTCTACACAGGACCTGATGACGTTGATTTCTCTCTCCTTATGATCCAGCCAGTTGCTTAGTTTCTCATGACTGAATGGTGACTTGTCTCTATCTTCAAAGACTTTTTTTAATTTGCTCTCATTTTCTTTACCTTCACGGATGAGAGGAAGTTCCTCCGCCATGGTCTGCTGGAGGCTAGCTGCATACTGATTACACAATACTTTGAAAGTGGTTAGATGCTTGTGAATCTGTGGAAAATCCTCTCCAACACTGTCGGCCAGAGAATCGTTGCATCTCATTACTAGCTCCCTTAAATCCTCTAGAGCATTCTCCGCCTTCCTCACTACTCCAACACTGACGCTCTTAAACTCAGCAGCTTTGGCTTCCAAACTCTTCAACGGCATCAGCCAGACCATCAGTGGAACACCTTTCTCTCCCTTTTCTTCCTGTTGCAGCAGTTTTGGAAGTTCTGCATAGGTCTTCACTGCCTCTTCAAATGTTCCAGGGTTGCTTTCAAGAATGAAGTCTCCGTAGAATTTGCAGGAGAATTTCTTGGTCAGAGCTTTTTCTTCATCAGTCAGCTTGATGTCAACTTTCCCCTGAATATCAAACGAGGGGATCTTCTTTATCACAGCTTCCATGCCGCCCTGGATGTCCTGAACGCTGCTGGCTTCTAACTTCTCACTGTCAAACACAAAGAAAGCATCTGCACCATAAAGGATGCCTGTGACTACGTGTGTTGCGAAGCCCTTCTCAATAAGATCTATCTGTTCGGGGTCCATGGTTTGAAGGTCAATCATTGACAACTGTTTGAAGTTGGTAGTGGCTTTGTATTGAAACGTCACTCTGCTCTGATTCTTGAATTTCTTCGTATCATTGAGATATGCGGCAGATCCTCCAACTTCAATCAGTCCACCCATGAAACTGGCCTTCAGAGAAGCGTTAATATCCAGCAGAGAGGACTTGGATTCAGTGGAGTCAGATGCAGAAATTTTAAATGAACTGCTGTGCTGAGAGCTTTCAACTGTTTTCTCTTGTAGAGTTTTATGATCCCACAGAGTCAAACCTATAGAAATCATCAAACATCAGTCATCTGATAAAGCAGGAAAACCATTGTGTTAATATAAAGTCACACAAAACTATATTGTAATATTTAGAATTCTGTAGCTTCTTATCCTGCCAGCTAATTAACAAAGGAATTACAGGGTTGAGGCTGTATCAATAATAAACTTCATGTATGCCTGTAGACTTCAAATCAAGAGGTTAGTATTTGAAAACATTTTTTAAAAACATTTGACAATCAGCATTGTATTCTTTCCATTGGTTAGAAAAACTAATTCAATTAAAACGAAAAGTGGAGCAAATTCTTGCATTGGAAAGAAAAACCGAACGGAAAAAGTAAACTCAACATATGGTTTGGGAGCTCTCTGATTCAGAGGTGGACTGACGTTTAATTAGCATGCAGATATGTAAATCACTCCCTCCCCTCAAACCCCTCCTCTCAACACCAAAATGGTGACAAAAAGTTGAAACTAAAAATCTGCGCCAATGGAAAAAAAGTCTAGAAAAAAACAAAAGAAAAAATATAGTAAATAAAAGTAAAATGTAATTATTTGATTTATTGTCTGTTTTATTCTTCAGTGAACACAAGCGTTTCATACCAATATTTACATTTTTTTAGTTCAGGTTTTCTTTTCAATGCCAGATTTTCTTTTCAATGCCAAGATTATAAAGCAACTATTTCGCTGTGTGTGTGTTTGGTCTTGCAAACAAGGCATTGAGCATGAGAGCACAATCAAAAATTACAATAAAACTTTCCAAATTAGTTTTCCACTAATCTCACTCCTTCATTTCTTCAGCAACAAAATCACATTGTACCAATTTTAGTCATCACAGTCAGGGCTGAAACAACGACAGTTCAATTTCTGTATTTAATGCAGGATAATAAATTGACCACCAGTATTTAATCCACCCCTAAAATCAGAGCTGCAACAGGTTCACTTTTTTTAAAATAATATTTGTCTAATATGTTACAACTTACCTGGGATCAGTTCATCTTTCCGAGCATCATAGAGCATTCCTAGGGTGAAAGGTCGACCTAGGGCAGCAACCACCATGTGATCTGAGGCCATTTCTCCAACCTGTTGAGAAATGTCAAGTAAGTGACCACACAGTCACAGTTGGGGTGGCTGTGGCTCAAAGGTAGTGCGGGTTGTCAAATAATCAGAAGGTTCTGGTTCGATCCCCAGCTCCTCATACTACATGTCAAAGTATCCTCGAGCAAGATACTGAATCCTCATGCTGTGTCATTAGAATGAATGTGGCATGTAATGTAGTGTAAAAATGCTTTGAGTGATCGGAAAGACTAAAAAAAAGTACAGTACTTCAATACTTCATAAGGTATAATGAATGAAACTTGAATTTCCTTTGGGATAAATAAAGTATCTATCTATCTATCCATCTATGAGCAGTGGCTTCACTTCTGAGTGCAGGGGGTGGGAACTGTCAGACTTGACGGATACTGCTTTCTTGAGCATAAATTTGTTGTACAGTTCAGGTTATTGATAATGACTTTTTCTGTTTGTGGTCGGGAAAAGCTTACCAGCAAATACATGAAAACATAAAAACTGAATAAATTGTGTTTTGGGGCAAGTCTGACAGAGTTGATAAAAATCTATGACATAACATTAACAGACCAACATTTTCTTTAAAAAATATGTATTTAAACATATAACAGGTTTTTTGGTGCAACAAAATCCTCAAGACTAGATCATTATATGAGTCCTTTGACTTGAAATGATGAGTTGAATGAATGTATAGTACAGAGGTTATTCAACTCATTAAGTTTCTAAAGAAACATGATCTGCATATTAGCAGACCTCCCAGCATGCATTATTTAAGAGTTAAAACTCTTAAAACTGACCCTTCTTCTTTTTATAGTCTGAAGAAAACATATATGATGGAAACTTTCTCTGACTCTAATACAGTTAAGTCAGATAAGGTTATTTCTTTTCGCAATAATGAAAACATTGCGTATCTCTACCCTCTTCCGCTTAAAATGTAATAAATTCACCAGGAGCAGTTTTACATACTGTCATTGAATAGACGCTGGAACAAAGATGCTCAAGACCAAACCAAATATTCAACCTCAACAGTTAACTCACAATAATAAGCAACAAATAAACTTACATTTTATTTTGGAATTTCTTAGTGTGAGATGAAGAACTGACTGTTACTACTAGGAGTCAACTCTCAGACTGGAGTTCAGTAAACGTTTAAACGTTTCTGTCACCCTCTGTCTCTTTCTGCTCAGTTTGTCCTCACCTGGTGAAGTTGTGTAGATCAGCTGAGTTGTATTTGAGTCTTCTTGACTACCGACTGAAGATGCTAGTCTGATGACCTGCAAGGATGCAATACTATTTATATACTCACTGACTCCTCCCCTGACACACGTCAAGTATATTACATAACTATTATGTAACTATTTGATACAGGTGTGAAGTAGGTAAATTATTAACTCTTTGTAAAGAACAAGGAACAAGGAACAAGGAACAAAGACAAAACTTTTTATTGAGACAGGCAAAAGGTAAAACACCTTGTGGAAATGACCGGAAGGTCTTTTGTGCTAGAAATAAAAGTGTGACTGAGTTTTATCTGGTTAGCATTTGACATGAAGTCCTTGAGTTTGTCTGTATTTGTGAGATTATAATAAACTGGTCTTGTTTCTGCTTTGTGGTTTGGACTAAGATCAAGAGTCAAGTAAGGCCATGGAGTGCACCACAGGGGTCCATGCTAGTATAATTTATGTGCAGTTGTTGACGTTGTATAATGAAACATCCCGTTTTTGGGGGTCATAGCTGTGGGAAGTAGGGATGAGGGGTTGAGAGGTGCAAACCAGCCTGTGGGTCCATCTGCAGAGCAGATATGAGCCCTTGCCACTGCCAAAGGGTTCTTGACTGTACACAGTAGCCAGCACCACTGGAGGCACTGTGGCTTATTTTTCTTGACCTCCAGCCACTCTGAGGCAATTTGGATGCACACTAGTAGAGTTTTAAAAGCTCACAGCCTGTCTGCTTTCTTTGTACCTCGCTGTTTTTCCAAACTACAAAAATGTAAAAAAAAAAAAAAAGTCCAGAGAGCAGTTTTTTCTGGTTATTTCATTAATGGCAGGACACACATCGCTTGCAGACTTGTACCCTCATTTGTTGTTGTGTGGGTTGATTATGTGGCAGGTTATATGGCTGTGTGGCTATATGAGCAGCCAGCATATGTAAAATACTGAATGCCGCTAGTTCGGTTGAGCGCACTTGCTCTGATTGTTGTGAAAACAAAACTGAAACAGCACACCTCACAGGTTGTATAAGAGCCCACTACAGGTCCTCACCCCCTCTACAAGGAACAATTGTCTCTGCCGTCTTTTAATTTACTGGATGATTAGAAAAGATAGTTGATGTACAAATTTATTCTTCATCATCTTGTTTTGGTCATATCACGTCTGTCTTCTTCAAAATAAATAAAAGTTGCTAAGTGTTTCAGTTGACTTACATAACACTACTTTAATGTTTTGTGACCATACTATAGACAATGACAAAGTAAATACATTTTTAACCAGAACAGGGAAATAATGGTAGGCAATAGTTTCTTAGTGACTTAGTCAAAGTCAAAGTCAGCTTTAAAGGAGTCATATTATACCCTATTTCTACAAGTTAATCTAGTTCCCTGGTGTCCTAATGTAATGTCTGTGACATGCTTTGGTCAAAATACCATAAGGATGAAGCACAATAGCAGTTCAATCACCCCACCAAAACAGCCATGTTCAGAGCGCTCGGTTTTGAGTGCCTGTCTCTTTAAATGCAAATGAGACACAGGTAATCCACCCACGTCTTCCGGGAGGTGTGCCGACGCCGCCACACTCACGCTACCATGACAACAATTGAACGTGAACCCTGGGAGAAACATGGCTGCTGGAGGAAACTTTGTGGTCCAACCTTATATGTTTGAACCAGAGTCAGACCCTGAACAAGAAGGAGCTAGGGAAGAAGTTGTTCTATGTAGACTACAACAGGACGTTTCTGAATGGTGAGTTATGAGCTTTATTTTACTTTTTCTTTTAAAATGTGTATGTTTGTACGTCGGGTAAATACGGTCACTGACCAAATACATTCTGTTTGTGTAACTTACTGCTTATAAAAATCTAGATTTTTTTTAGACGAGTGGGAATATAGCACTCGTTTTTTTATTCTCAGCTACACCGTAATACATCATTATTCTGTCCGACATCTTACGTTAGTATCCACAGCCATACTGTAGCCACTTTTCACGCCTGTGTGCTAATTTTACAACCTATGTGTGAAACGGGGGATGTAGTGGGGGTTGGGGCGACTGCCTGCCAGCGCCGTATACCCCACAGTAATGTCTGTTTACCCCTTATTTCTGCGTTTCAACAAAATCCAATAATTACAATTAATAGTTATATCGTTGCATAAGCTGACCTGTCGTTATTGCTAACAACATATTCAAATAAAAAACTATAACTGATATCTTTTCCCCTTTTTTGCCTCTGGTTTAGGTGTACTTGTGAGAATTGCACAACAATGCCAACAATGACACACAGGGCACACCTGAAACAGCTCCATTAGGCAGTTCTCATACACAATGTAAGTTGGAGTCTTATGGACAGGGGTAGATTCTGCAATAAAAACAAAACATTGACAGAAAATGAGTCAAAGATCGTCCTAGTAGAGCTACAATAAGTAGAGAATGTAACACAAATGATTAGTAAAATGTTTAGGTAACTCACGTCACATCTGCTGACTCGGTCAAGGTTGTGGCAGAGTCTGCAGGGTCATAAGTTGAATCACGTGGCTCCTCGATGTCAACAGAACTGCCTTCTAAAGGGTTCTCCTTTTCCTCTTCCTCTTCCTCTTCCTCCACTTCCTCCTCCAGTTCCAAGCGACGTCTCTTACTTGGTCTCTTTATTGGTGTTGATGTAAGAAACGGCAGAAGAGCTGAGGTGCCAACACCAACATCAGTGCAGGAAACAGTTTTCTGTGTGCCTTAAAAACAGACAGATGATCTTATTGTTTATGCAAAATTCTAAAATGATAAGCAATCATATTGTTACTCATTAACAGAACACAAACAGAAGAAATCACTTCAACGAATGAAGTAACTTTTGGTCAACTAACCTGTACTTTTGAAATGAGGTTGGAGAGTCTTCATTGAAAGCTGAGTTCCAATTGTGCGTGTTGTTGGTGCCACATGATGTACCCTATCCAGCAGTCCAGATGTGCTTGCCTAAACACAAAGTGATATTTATATTTATAATACTCAAAAAATGCAGTAAAAGCAAATAACTGTCTGTTGATTGATCTATTTGTTTGTTGTGATTTTATCCGCAGATTAACAATGACTGTCAGCCACTAGCTAACTAGCTTTTCACATTGAAGCAATAACGTCTTGTTATTGTGCTAGTTCAGTTTATAACACACACACTGTACTGTAGCGTTTTAATTCTATTTCTGCTCGAAATCATCACAAACTTACTGTCGTTTTCTCTGCTCTGTGTCTTTTACGCCACTGGCCCTTTTCTCTCTCCAAAGTGCGTTGTGCGACAGTAATCGTCAACCGTGATAAACACAGTGTGCCGTATATGACGTTAGTTCTAGCCTTGATGCAGGCTCTTAATACTCGAGTAACAGGTGGAATTGTTTCAGTCTTACTGAAGATATCACATTATAGTGCCCGCTATTCTGAATTAGCTCGGACCTTGTTGATATTAGGGTTTTGATATGTTTTTGTGTCGGGGGCGGGTGTCGATATACATCCTTACCAAGCTACATCCTAACGTAACGTAGTTACTTACTTAACTATCTTCCCTGTCTAACATGCTAGTGCGGCTCAACAAGCGGAGCAGCTGGTGAGGCGTGCCGCTGGATCCGACATTACTTTTTGCATGCTACAGTTTGTTATCTCAGAGGTTACGTCTCTGCTCATTCTAGCGGCGACACACACAAACATAATACTTACTGAAAAGCACGCACGTTTACCAAAATACAGACGAACATAAAGCTAGTTGTAGCTTAAACCACGAAACTCACAACAGTTACTTCGCCCCGCTGCACGAAGCTAATGGCGGCGGGGGGTTGCTGGTGATTCACGGCATACACTTCGTGTTAATCTCTTTAAAAAAGAGCAGCAGGGAAGAATATGGAGACATATGCACCAACTGGCTTAAATTATCATCACCATATAAGTTTCATGTTCATCTTGCACACATTTAACAAACAATAACTACGTTAGCGTCACTGTGGCCCCGGCAGCTAAAAGCTGTTAGCATTAACTAGTGTTATACCAACAATGAAAAACAAAGCATAAATTCTTAAAAATACTTACAGTTTCTTCGTCTGTCGTCTTGCAACGGAAAGTTGGTACTGCCCCCTCTATCAGCAGCAGTCTTTTGGCCAGGCCCTTACTGTACTCACCGAGGTTCTTAATGAGGCACTCTCTCGCTCCTGGGGACAATGGCAGAGCACCGCTAGACAAGGCTGAGTAAGCTGAGGTGGGTGGCAACATGCAGGTGAAAGGGTGGAATATGCTAATGAGCCCCCTGAAATGATGTCAAAAAAGGTGAAAATCTGAAATTGAGTGATTTATCTCCTGTATTCTGACTGAGGCAGCCCACAAAAACATGACTGAGTCTTTTTTTTTTCACACTTTGCCTGCTGATAGGCCCTCCAGATTCCCAAATGTATATAATCAAATGATTAAAAAGTTGGTTTTGCACAATATGTCCCCTTTAATGTCAATTTCTTCACATGCACCAGACCAGACCAGTTTCTCACTCTCCCACGGTGAAACAGATAAAGTGCACAGGCACAACAGACAAGACATTTACTAATGCTAAAAAGATAAAAAGATAGAAAATAAAATATAAAATATACAATAATATAAAATATAAAATACTCATGGTAGTGCAAAAAGGCAGTTGGTAATGGCAGCAAAAAAATTATTAAAAATTCTGTAAGATATATTTGAACATTAACAGTGCAAACAGAACAGTAGGGAAAACCTGGTCTGATTAGGAGAGACGGCATCCATCCCACTTTGGATGGAGCGGCTCTCTTATCTAGAAATATGGCGAAGTTTATTTCTAAAACCTGACAGTCCAGAGTTAGGACCAGGAAGCAGAGCTGCTGTCTTACACACTTCTCTGCTATTCCATTAGAACAGTCACCCACCCAAAACCCCATAGAGACTGTGTCTGTCCCCCGACCACCTAAATTATTTAAAGAAATAAAAACAAGAGGAGTTCAACATAAAAATCTAATAAAAATTAAAACTAACTCCTCAGTAGCACAAAATAAGAGAATGAAATGTGGACTGTTAAATATCAGGTCTCTGTCCTCTAAAGCTGTTTTAGTGAATGAATTAATATCAGATTATGATATTGATTAACTTTGTCTTACTGAGACCTGGTTGTCCCACGAGGAGTATGTTAGCCTAAATGAATCCACCCCCCCAGTCATATTAATACTCACATTCCTCGAGGCACTGGCCGAGGAGGTGGAGTGGCAGCCATATATGATTCGAGCATTTTAATGGACCCTAAACCTAAACTAAATTATAATTCATTTGAAAGCCTTGTTCTTAGTCTTTCTCACCCAAACTGGAAAACACTGCAGCCAGTTCTATTTGTTATAGTGTACCGCGCTCCTGGACCGTACTCTGATTTTATATCTGAATTCTCAGAGTTTTTATCAAGTTTAGTGCTTAAATCAGATAAAGTAATTATTGTAGGTGATTTTAATATTCATGTGGATGTTGCTGTCCTATAACAACTTTAATCCCTCTGAAATTGATAACCTTGTTGATAGTGCTGCAGGCTCACTACGATCAACATTAGACTCTATCGCTCATATTAAAAGGAAATTATTAAATCATAGGAAACTAGCACCGTGGTACAACCACCAAACCCGCCAGTTAAAGCAAAAAACAAGGAAGTCGGAAAGGAAATGGCACTCTTCTAAATTATTAGAATATCGCTCAATTTGGCATGATTATCTTAAAACGTATAGAAAGGCCCTCTGTAATGCCAGAGGAGCCTATTATTCAGCACTAATAGAAGAAAATAAGAATAACCCTAGGTTCCTCTTCAGCACTGTAGCCAGGCTGACGGAGAGTCACAGCCAACTATAGACCGATTTCTAACCTCCCCTTCCTCTCTAAGATTCTGGAGAAAGTAGTCGCCAAAGAGTTGTGTGACTTTCTACATAACAATAGTTTATTTGAGGATTTTCAGTTTGGATTTAGAGTTCATCACAGCACAGAGACAGCTCTAGTTAAAGTTAATAATGACCTTCTGATTGCTTCTGATAATGGACTTGTCTCTGTACTTGTATTATTAGATCTTAGTGCTGCACTTGACACCACTGACCATAATATTCTTTTACAGAGACTTGAGCATCAAATTGACATTAAAGGAATTGTTTGGCATTAAATATAATATATGTTAACGTTGAATCTTCCTTAAATACCACAGTTAGTCATGGAGTTCACAAGGTTCTATACTTGGACCAATACTATTTACTTTATATATGCTCCCTTTAGGCAACATTATTAGGAATCACTCCATTAACTTTCATTGCTATGCAGATGATACGCAGTTATATCTATCGATCAAGCCCGATGAAATTAATCAATTACCTATATTACAAACATGTCTTAAGGACATAAAATCCTGGATGAGCTGCAATTTTCTGATGTTAAACTCAGAAAAAAACAAAATTCTTGGACCCAAAAACCTGATGTATAGTGTGCTTCCTTCCCTGAATTCTACCAGAGCTTATTATACACATGTATGTGTGTTTTAACTGCACTTTGGCTGCATTCTTTATGCATACATACAACTTACAATAACTACATTCAACCAGGTGGGTAAAACCAGGGGTGAAAGTCGATTTAAGTTCTTGCTTGTTCCTAAACCTTTAACACTTCAAGTTCTCCTCTTGCCCCCAGCATATACTGTATTACTGTACTCAAGTAGTTTTTTCAACTACTTCTGGAGGACCGAAATGTCATCATCAGAATAAAAGAGAAATGTATATGGAGCAATGCTCTTTTCGTACTCTCAAGGATCATACGACATTACTGTCTTTTGAAGGCATTAAAGTCCAAACTGGTCCAATGTGCAGGGAACCAAGTGTGTGACTAAAAAACCACAGATGAGCTGATGTAATTGATGGTGTGTCCACTAGATGGTGCACATCATCCATCACCAGCGACAGTGAGCCCAGTGAGGACCATTTATGACCAAATTTGTAGAAAAAACACTTGGAGTGTTATCTTTAGTCTTTGTTTTGCTTATTAGTGTGAATGACAAGATAAGAAAACCTTTATTTGTCCCGTAAGGGCAGAATAAGAGATAACAAGAGCAAAGAGTAGCTTATAAAAGATAAATAATGAAATAAAGTAGCATTGCACAGACTGGTGTCAAACTGGTGTTTTGAAGTTTTTACACCTTGTGGTGTAATACTATTGCATATATTAAGAGTGTTCGTTATGGAGTCTAATAGCAGCAGGAAGGAAAGACCTTCTCTATCTTTCCTTCACACATGCTTCAGCATTACAGTGAGAATACTACAGTACATTCAATTATTTTTGCTTGCTTTCAGCCACGGAAACCATTCAAATGACAAAATGTTCAGCACTTCAAGGACAAGCATGCTTTCCATTCAACTTTCCTGCCTCTTATAGTTTTTATAAAATATTAGTTTTATTCAACATTTACTGGTTATAATTTCCTGTATATGAAATTTGCATATACCGCTATACTGGTGCACAGCTGAAACATCTGCTCTAACTAATTTGTTTCTTGTCCAATAGAATATTTGATATCTCTTTTGAATACTTGAGTTTAGAGTTTATAGTGTTCATACAATTATTTTAAAATATTTTGTTTAACTTCTGTTTTTATGACGTTGCAGATTGCACAATATAAATTGTTTTAGATTCTATAAATGTTTCATTCATTCTGATTCCTTCATATCTGCAACCCTATAGTAACCACAACATTTAGTACATGATGACTGTTTTAATATTTTATGTGCTCCTGACAGTTTAAACCCATGTAAAGGCCCAGTCATGCAAAAAACTGTATAGAGATACAAGTGTTTTGCCCAGCACCAGTCCAACCACATGTATAACTGAGTCCACATTTAATACATGGTCATAATGAAAATGTATTGATGTATTAACACTGATTGCAAAAAAAAACAAAGCTTTAACACATCAACAAACAAATAAATTCACCCACAAAAAATATATCACAAAAATGAAGACAATTCTAACAGGATTAGACACTTTTTCTTAGCGTTGCTTGATCCAGAAGAGCTTATTACATGGCCTCACTCTCTCTGTCGGCCCTCATTGATTTCAGTTCCTGCTGGGTGGTCGACTGACTTCCTGACGAGGACGCTGCATTCTCGCCATCACCTGTGTCCTGCCTGCAGCACAGGGCGCGGGGCAGTGAGCTGAAAAGGGCCTTCCTGAACATGGAGCTGGAGAAGACGTAGACGATGGGGTCCAGGGCCGAGTTCAGGAAGTTCAGCCCCAAAGACACAATGGTGAGCTGGGTAAAAGTGTAGAAGGAGGTGCAGTCCCACGGGCGGTACGAGCGGATGACCCACACCCCAATAGTTGTCACCGTGGTGGGTAAGAAGCAAACCATGAACACTGCAACGATGACGGCACACACTCGCATTGCCTTTCGCACCTTGTCTGGTTTTCCCATCTGTCGCTCCTTCAGGAAGCTGGAAATCCGGATAGAGCAGAACAGCAGCATGGCCATTGGGATGATGAACTCCAGCACCGTCAGGATCCGGTGCATGCCAACCAGGATGATTATCGCCCGCGATGCCTCTTTGTAAGAAGTAAAGAAGAAGCACTGGGTGGTGTTGCCGCTGTTCTTGATGTGGTTGTAAGCAAGCATGGGAACCCGGGGGCTGATCACCAGGAGCCAGACAAACACAGACACGAACGCAGCCTGCCGCTTGGTCATACGGTTGAACCGGTGGTGAGGGTGGACCACCTGAAGCAACAGTGATATCATATATCATATACATTTTATATTCTTTATAACAAAAATGTGTCAAACAGCTGGTGTTACACTGTCATTTCCTGGAGGCCACCTGTTTTTAAATCACACACTACAGCTTCTGTTCCACCGCTAGATGCCACTAAATCCTACACACTGGACCTTTGGTCTCCAAGTGAAACATATGAGATTTTGTGCACTCTCATGGCAAAACCTGATGTTTATTAAAATCAGGATCACACCAATTTGTAATGAAATTTAATGAGTTGTATTACCCCTGTTAAAACTACAGGAAAGCCAATTGATGGACATCGCTTAGAGTTTTGATATTATACTGCATAGGCTATATGGATAGCCTACTGAAGGGTAACAAACATATGACGATGATGTTCAAATAATTTTCAAATTCATAAGCTTAAGTGTGGACACAGTCAAATTGAGCAAACCATAATAATACAACGCACTAATTTCCTCACCTTAAAGTAGCGGTAAATTGCCACCACAGTCATGAGTGCAATGCTGGCTGAGCGGTTGGAAAACATCAGGAAGAGGTTGATCCGGCACAAACCATCTCCAAACACCCAGTGGCCCCTGAGCAAGGCATCAATCCTCAGCGGCAGACTCACCAGAGCCAAGAAGTCGGCAATAACCAGATTGAAGAGGAATAGGTTGTTGGGGTTCCAGGCCTTCAGTTTAAAGCAGAAGATCCACAGGGCAACTATGTTTCCCAGCAGCCCCAGTATGACATCAATGGTGAGGACTGGGGGCAGGATCACACCCTCCAGTTGAATACCAACTGGTGGGCAGCCGCCGCCTCTACCACCACCAGGGATCGGGGTTGTAAAGTTTAAAGTTGGGGTGGTCAAGTTTACATTTTGCTCTGACAGCATTTTGGCAAATTAAATTTAAATATCTTTATAATTTTTATTTAACCAAAATATATGAATCAGCGTGGTGACAGATTTTGGGAAGACAGTAAAAATAATGTTCTATTAAAAACAGTTGTGGGTTTGATGGTTAAATAAGCTGTATGACCACACCAAGGAAAGTTTTGAGATTCAAATTTGCCCCTTCCCCTTTTCACCTTCTTCCTTTTTTCTGTAGAATGAAATCTGTGTTAAAAAACAGAGTACTTCTTTTTACATGAGCCAGTTCCACTTCTTCACAGATCATAATTATAATAACAATAATAATAATAATAATACAATTTTATTAAAAAACATGTAGAGTAACACATAAGTCTAATGCACCAATATACACTGATCAGCCATAACATTTAGACCACTGACAGCTGAAGTGAATAACACTGATTATCTGGTTATCAGGGCTGCTGTGGGGGGAATATGTCAGGCAGCAAGTGAACATTTTGTCCTCAAAGTTGTCAGAACACACAGTGCAGAGCAGTCTGTTGGTCTGGGACCAGTCAGGGAGTCCAGGTGGTCATAATATTATAGCTAATCAGTATATTATGTAAAATTGATCTATTTTCAGTTTAAAGTGCAGTTACTCTACAATTGCACATAAACATTTGTCTCTAATTCAGTCTCTAATCACATTAACTTACCAAATTCAAAACTCGAATTAACTCTAAACATTGAAATTACGAAAAATGTGAAAACGTCATAAAACATGTAAACACATAAATAAAATGTAACATTCTTCAAAATTTCCATAGTTAACAACATTAGAAAACACTATTTAACTACACCAACCAAACTAATGCTATTAAAATAAGTGTCTTACACCCATAGGTTAACATAAAGGTTAAATAAGATTATGTGCATTGACACTCTTGACACGATGAATATGAGTAATATCAAGGACTCACCCGTCTGCTGTATGAAAGGATTTAATTCATAAACTGTTGGAGGAAGTAGTGGAGGGATGTATGAGCTCTGTCTGTGCCTTTATGTCTCTTACAAGAGGATGTTGTGTGTCATCAAGCAGTTACCTCACTAGTACAAGTACAATCAGTACAAAAACAAAAGTGACGTGTAGGACCTAATTTCAGAAATCCTGTTTGAAGCCTATTTCTCAACACATTTTGCAAGGGGTGTAGTATTGTGCTTCTTAAAAAGGTAGAATTCAAATGAACTCAGGTGTATATAGTATAATTATGAATAAATTATCTCCAGATAAAGTCCAGAAAAGCCGTAGCCTACTCTCTGATTCAGACCAGCAGTAGTCCAACATTAGCTGCTAACTTTAGCTATCATAAAGATTATTATTCAGCTAAAATTTACAATATCAGTAGCATTATCTGATTCATTATTATCATCATGAAGATAAACCTTTAGCTACAATGTAACACTAGCTACCTGCTAACATCAACCATCATTAAGATCAACACTAATGTAGCCTTCGGATATCAGTAAAAGTAGGGTTAATGAACAAAGATGAGCTGCTAACTATAACCATCAGTTAGTGTTACTTTAGCAACTAGTAAAACTTTCTGTACATCAGGAAACTGTGTAAACTCTGTACTCTGTAAGGACATCAGAGAGAAAACCACAGAACATTTTATACATTAAGACGTTAGCAACATTGCCTGTTAACCTGTTAACTTGTCAACTGATACAAAGGCTAAAGTTTAGAAAGGTTTTAAATATTAACAAACAGGGCCTGGCTGCTAACCACAGCCCCTTAAACCTATCAGCGTATGTACATGGCAACCATTCGGGTTACGTAAAACAATAGCTGGACCTTTACATCCAGTAAGAATCAGAGATATTCAGCATAATAATATTAGTTCATATTTGATATTAAAAGTAAGAGTTTCATAATTTCCTATGTTATTCAGATTTCAACCAACAGGACCAAATAAAAACATTGTGTTTGTTAGTTTGTGTTTTTATGGGTCAAAGGCAGATGACATTTCCGGTACTTTTCCCGCCCGCCGTCGTGGTTGATGTTTGAGGTCAAACGGTGACACACATTTAGAAATGGGTTTTCCTCTCGATGAACAAATCGCTGAGGAAGTTTCGAAATCACAAGATTACCGTTGTTGCTCTCGTGTGTGACACATCAGCATATTGTCACTTTCCAGAGCTGATGTTGTAGAAGTCCCTGAATTACTTTATATATATATAAACTTAATATTATTCTGTTTTTGTCTTCTCTGGTTTCCTCTGACACATAATCTGATGGATGTTAGTCAAATTTAAATGTACAGGAACTCTCAATACTAAACTAATTCTAATGAATAAAATAAATGAATTTCTAATAATTTTTGTTTCCCATTTTAACTATATCAAATGTAATTTCTTTGAATTCTCAGTGACATGATTTTTTTATATAAATATTAAAGGATTGTATTGGAATATTTTTTTTTTACGTACCAGTTGCCTGGTAGCATGTTTCATTAGTTGGAGAAACTAACTAACTGTAATAAAAACAGATAAACTGATAAATAGGTTGCAAAACTCGCAAAAATAGAATAGTATCTAGCTCCAGTGTTTGGTTTGGCCCTTCTGAGCTACTATAGAAACATGGTGGTTCAACATGCTAACTTCCATGAAAGACCTGCTCCCTCAATTATTTCTGTACAAACACACAACTTTATCAGTGATTCGGGTGAAACTGGATCATATTTTATGGAGAGAATAGTTTTCCCTCTGACATCCTCCGGCTAACTGCTAATGTAGCTGCCGTTAGTGTTAGAAAGCGAACGGGGCTCAGCAGCCTCCCAGTGAAGACAACCTCAGAGACAGAGGATAGTTTGACAACAGCGCTATCGAGGTGGTTTATGGATCCTGATAGACTTGTTCCTAGGGTGGCCATTTCCTTCACATCAAAAAGGAGGACACTTTACATACACGGGGACACACAAGCAGATATTTGTTTGGTATGATCCGGTTTTAAATGTTAATGTTTTTCCACCAGATTACATAAAGGTGCATACACATACCACATAGCTAATAATAAATATACAAGATACAGCTCATGACAACGTGCCCTTCCAATTCAGATTACATAGGTCTAATAAATATCATACAGAAACTGTTCTTAATGTTTTTATCTGGCTCGATAAAGGGTAAAACAAATACAGCACCTTCTGTTTCAGATGTATAGACTTTACCTATCTACATATGAGTATGAGCATTTTCAGAATTTCAGTCCAACAACCGACGTTAGCTCACGTTACGTTCTCTGTCTGAGAGTTTGATTGACAGCCTGGTGATCAAATTAACACATGGCTCATTTGAATATTAAAATGAGCCACATGAAAATGTAACCAATGAAATTATTTATTCTGACACACATTTTTAGCCAATAAGTATTAAACTAACGAGGTAATGTGTCAAAAGGCCACATTTTTAGTTATTTTCTCAAAAGGAGGACAAACGAGTGTCTTGTTCTACTTGTCCCTAACTGCCACCAACATGTTAGCTACTTAGCTCGTGCAGCTAAGATGAACTGATTTAGCCCCGGGGTGCCAGGAGCCAAACCCTGCACAAAAAAACACCTCGGTACTTTATTCCCTGACGTCAAACTGGCCTCTGTCGGCATCAGATGCCACTTTCGGTCCCAGCTCGCAGCAGAGTCTGCTAATCGGTCCACTATAGCTGTCTGACGGGGGGACACATTCGGACCTATTGGCTATCGCAACAAGTTCCTCTCTAGCTGCTGCTGCTCGCTGCTTCCTGTTTCATGTGGACTTTCAGATCAGGTCAAGACATCTCCGACTACCAAAACTGAAGCAGCTCTCACATTCTCCCCCTTCTTCTTTCCCTTCTTTCCTCCCATCTGTCTTTTTAATCCCACAAACGTTTTGCAGTGATGATTCATACTCCATTGTGCTCTCAGTCAGATTGAAATTTGAATTTCAATCTGCTGAATTCAGCTCGCCTGCCACAGATTCTTCATTCAGTGTAATGTTTACAGGTAATTTATCTCTCCAAATGCTTCCCCGAGACTCCAAAGAGGCAACATTTTAAGATTTAAGCTCCTTCCAGTGTTTTTAACTATAATGCTCTTTAATCTTTAAGCTGAAGAAAGAAAATGTTGTCTTTCCGAGTGCACATGGGCTTCTGTTGTGTGCGTGTGTTTGCATGTGCTTATGTTGTGTGTGACGGACGGGTATCAGGATGGATTAGTGAGTAAAGGTAAGCGTGTGTCTCTCCCTGTCTAGGCGGATTTCCATCCCTCTCCTCTTCTCTCCGGTCACACACACCGACCCCGTTTGAACCGCCGGCGCCGTCTCATCTCATCCCTCCTCCGATACCACCCGTCTCATGGCGGTGTAACACTTTGAATGCTTGTGTTTGTGTGTGAGTGCGTGTGATTGGTTGGGTTTTTTTGCCTCGGACTGTCGTGCGATGCCATTACTCCCTCAGGACGCGGAGCGATTCGATGGGCTGTCTCTACTCTACTGGTAAGCTAATTCCCCCTGCGCTCCCCCTCCCTTCCCTCCTACCTTCCTTCCCTCCTTCCTTCCTTCCTTCCTTTCCTTCCTTTTTTAAAACTTGGCTCCTTAAGGTGGTTTATGGCGTTTGTTTTTGTGCGTCGTCCTCAATCTTCGGCTGCTGCAGTTGTTCATGTGGGTCACAGACTTCAGAGGTGAACTAGGTTTACAAGCTGTTTACCAGCAGATGCTTCTGACTTTAAGTCCACATGCATGTGCCCACTTCTGGGTCATGTAAGAGCTGTTTTAAAGGAAGGTGCCAACATTTTTTAATAACAGCAGCACATTCAGTATTTGTATTTTTGAGACTTTCTGCTTTCCTTCCAGGAGATTTCAGAGGGACATTTTGTACACTGACAGCTGGAGTTTGTTGTTTGTTTTCTATAATGAGACAAACGTGGCTGTTGTCAGGTAAAACTGTTGTATCTCCAACATTTTAACTCTTCAGGAACAATGTCTCAACTCCACACAAGAACTTTTAGTCATTAAAGATTTTTTCCTGCAAAACAATTAGTTGATTTATAAAGTAATCAGTCTACACTCGTAAAAACTGATCAATTGTTTCACTTACGAATTTAATTCTTTATATAATATAAAGCGGTGAGTTGAGTCATGAACAGGGAAATTAGCTCTAGATTAAAAGGCTGTAAACATGTTTATTTCTGCTGTAAAGTTTTAAGATGGGGCCTTATGGGGACTCACTGCTGGAGCCAGCCTCTAGTGGCTGTTAGAGGAACTGCAGGTTTTGTTACTTTGGTGATTCATTTGCAGCCACAGACGTTGCCGTTTGAATAAAATTTGAAGACACTGAATGTTGAAAATAATTGTTAGTTGCAGTCCTACTGCTGAGTAGCAAATAATGACCAAAGGTAGACGCACCAGGTTTTCACATGAGATAAAACAGCAATGAAAAAATCTTTTATTTGTTAGTCTTAAAATATACTTACTAAAAATAAAAGTGCTCATTAAAGCTAAGCATCCACCAATAGATCTTGGTGCTTTTTATCTCTAGATTGGAACCGGATGAAGGATTTTAGTCATCTGACGTCTGGATCTTAAATTATCAGAGAAACAAGCTGAGCTAACGTTAGCAGCAGCTCGGCTCGCAGCCCCTCCGGGACGTCCTTTGTCTGTCCAACAGCGTGGGAGAAGCAGTGATTGTTAAGGTGGAACTGCTTTATTCAGTGTGTTTAGTGGTTTTAATCAGCGGGTCTGTTTGTGTTGGAGAGGAGGAGACCTCTGTGGATCATTGGGCTCCCGGTAGAAACCTCCTGAACCATGAACACTGAAGGAATACTAACCGGGAGAAGCTGACTGCAATGACACCAATGGTGGTGAAGACAACAACTCCCATGATCCCACGCTGCTTCACCACCTCTTCAAACTTTCTATATAAATATCTATATCTAGAACAATATATTGTCATTTACTAGTTGTTTATAAAAAAGCTGTCAAAACGTGGAGTAAGAAGAATTATATTTCCCTCTGAAGTATAAAGTACCTCAGAATTGTACCAGTATTTGAGTAAATGCACTTACTACTACTTATGGAAACCAATGGAGTAAGTATAGGAAGTGTAAACTAGAAAGTAAAGCGGCTTTAGCTGTAAGATAACTCCTGAATCAGCTCACTGACGATTGATCTTTTCTCATCCGATCACTCAGTGATCCCGTTTGAACCGACACTGCAGCAGCTTCTGTTTACCAGACGACATCCTGTGCTCATGATCTGTCAGCGAATGGATCCGTCGGCGTCACTCTTCTCTATTAAAACATCTGCTGTGCTTTACTGCAGGGACTCCTCTTGTTCTTATTTGACATTACAGGGAGGAGATTAAATATTTAAGCAGTTCTCTTTAGAGGTGGCGCTGCTTCACAACTCCTTGACAAAATTGTTCATTGCAAGTATTTTTTCTGCCGTGCTGTAGAAACCTTCAGCTCCTCATCATTTTTGTTATTTTCATATTGGGTTTGTCTGTTTGAGTCTGATGAAACTTCTTTAAAACCTTCCAAAACCACATTAAAGAAGCTGTATGTAAGAACTGGCCACCTGTCAAATTCAAACACATTGGGGGCAGCACATTACCAACATAGACTGTATAACATAATAACAGTCTGTAGTCTCAGTGACGTCACCCGTAGGTCTCTGAAGAGTCGTTGTGAAGCTAAGTGCGGTCGGAGGAGGCGGAGCTGAATGAAGCCTGGTTACTGCAAACAGCTGCCAGATTTCAGCTATCGTGCTATCAAGCTTTCATCAGTCCCTCCAGGTTTTCAGAAATTGCAACACGTTCCAATTTTTTTAGCCATTTCTTAGAAATTAAATCTTTAAAATTAAAATGTGGGAGAAATTGTGTAAAACGAGTGATTTGGATGAATTTTGAGCAGATTATTTCCTGTTTCTGGAACTTTTTATACAATTCTCTGTTTGTATTATGTATTTTTATAATGTTTAACAATCATACAGACTCAATAGGCTTCTTTTTTGACAGATTCTGTGTTTTCTTCTCCCTGATGATTGGTCATTAGACAATATACTGTACATTCACTTTTCTTTACAGAAATGAACCAAATGCTGAGATATCGGCCTATTGTGTGTATTTTTAAAGTTTTCTAGCACACCTTAAAATCAAGAAGGCCTCGCGACCCCCCATGAAGCTCTGGCGACCCCTAGTGGGGATTCCAACCCCCAGGTTGGGAACTACTGGCTTGAAATATAACATTGTTATTGTTTACATAAATTCAACCCATAAAATGAGCCCTCCTCTTCCTCTGCAGTGTAGATCTGAACACAGAAACTGGTGAGTGTTGGTTCATACTGGCCTGCTGGCTCTGCAGTGGTGTTCCTGTGTGTGATGTTAATCACTTGCGGCAGGTAATGCAGATTATCAGGTATTAAGTGATCAGTTTAATTGCCCCCTCGTGTCCCAGCAGATCGCTTGGCTGCACGTTGTCGGCTGTCTGTGGGGCTCAGAGAGGTCGGGTTGTTCATGTGAAAACCAACATTTGTTTTGCAAGAAGAAACTCATGAGGAACTGGATTGAAGTTAAAGCAAGTTATTAATTCCACCGGTCTGCTCACTTACAGCCATTGATAGTATATATTTAGTGGACAGAGCTTCCAGGTCCGTGAAGTGTCTTAAACCTGGAGAAACAAGCCTTTTCTTATCTCAGTAAACAGTTTCCTGATGAGTTTCTGGTCTCAGTCTCTAGTTTCAGTCTTCTTCCATACAGCATGATGTTCATTTAGTAACTGATGGTCCCATTTAGAGTAAAACAGACCATAAAGCAGGGTATGCTTTAGGGCGGGGCTACCTTATGATTGACAGCTCATTCTCAGTGAGTCCGTCCAGCTCAACGCACCAAACTCAGATCAAACTGTCAAACAGTGCTGATCAGATATGGATCCAGATTCTGTTGTTGACTCTTTCTCTCCTCAAATCTGTTCACAAACACATTTTACTGTTTATCTGGAATATCAGATCTTGTAACACTGCATCATGTGACTTACGTAATGTAACATACTTATTTTAACACAAAGTGAGATCTTTAACAAAACTTAACCAAGTAGTTTTGGTCTACACCAAACTGCTTTTGAGATGATTAACGGGAGAGGAAACACAAAAAAACAAGGTTCTGATGCACAAATCTGTTTTTGGTTTTTCTGAGTTTGTTAATCTTTAGGTTTTGGAAATTTGTAAGGTTTAACCTCTTTGAGCCTCAATCAGTTATAAGTTTAGAGAAGAAATGTTCTTTATTTGAACAATAACCTAAATTATCTGAAAAGTAGCTGTTAAATAAATGTAGTGGAGTGAAAAATACAATATTTCAGTAATTATAGAGCGAAATATCAAACTGTTTATTTCAAACATTGCAAATGCTTTAGATTCATTCAGTTATTCAGTTTACACACATTTGTATGTCAAACAATTGCTTTAGAAGAAAGTAGAAAGGAAAATAAAAAGCAAACACTTTCTCTCTCCAGAGATCACTGTGACCTCCACTTCACCTGGAGTCTTTACTCATCCACTTATTACACTTACATTATCCCTTATGTAACACACAGTATGTGACCTGGTCCTGATAGCAGCAGAGCTCTGAACACACCTCCCTGTCCACTGTACTTCAGTCTCAGGATGTTACAATACCAAGTTAGTAGTAGATAACAATAACAGTTAAATTCCATGATTCTCGATACTGATTCAATACAATGGTAAAACCTTTTTTTGCCCCTATCCCCTTATTAAATATTTATTATCTTCTGATACTTGTATCTTCCTATGCTTCCCTGTCAGGTCCGGAAGAATTGCATCCTCTGTACCTTTGGTACCTCCGCTACGGCAGAAAAATGAGTGCCGTACTTGGTACCGAAGTATCGGCTCTTGTGACCTCCCTACTTCAGTCTACTTAAATAGTTGCTTTGCTGCTGTACTTTTAATCTTGTGCCTTGTTACTTGATCCCTAACTGGATGAGTCTGCCTTCTCTTTCTGTTTTCTGTTTGACCTCTGCCTGGTCTCTAAACTGTGCTTTTGGGTCCAAACCTTGTTATACCGAACCATCACAGGATTGTTTCCTATTACACTGATGCATGTGATGTTTACTTTAAGGTCCAGTGTGTAGGATTTAGTGGCATCCAGCGGTGTAGTTGCAGATTATTGCAACTAACTTGCTTCCCGCTCCCTTTCCAAACTGGAAACAGCCCAATGTACAGTGCATGAATTGGGCCTGTACTTACCAGTAATGTGTACCAGTATTTACAGTTTTTGGCCAGAATTTTTTCCAAGGGGTGTACAGTAAATGTTGTGTAATAATTGTCTAAAAATAACTAGTTTGATGTTTTGATACCCCATAACCCCCCAGTAAGGTTACATTTTTGGACTTTGGTATTTCTATAACACAGCATACAGCAGTGCTAAACTCATAGCTAGACTAATGCTAAGAAAACAGCACAGAAAATTTACTTTTTAAAAAGGCAAAAAAATGCCAAAATAATGGTGTTCAGGGTTGTGCTGAATTAGGGTACTGGCACCTATTTTGGTCCAATTCCGGCACTGCCTATCTAGTGCCAGTGTTTGTTTGTCCACTCAATGTTACACACTGGACTGGTTTTAAACAAAGCAGCTGGTCCCATTTGAAACCTGCAGTGTGCTGGTCAGGTTCTCGTTACTAACGATGTATGAATGTTTGCTGACAATATTGTGCTTTATGTTCCTAAAAAGGTTCCTGTATGCTGGGGGATACAGTCATTTTAGAGGCTGTGGGGAGGTCATGAAGTGATTGTTTCAGACAATATTGTTTGTTATGGATGATATTATATACATTTGTTTAAAAATAATGAATAACATTTTCACAACTTTGATAATCAGACATTAAATGTTTGTATCCTGGAGGATACATTGTTCATATAAGGATATAAGATGGATAATAATACACAGATTTACACTGTGTATGTGCCAATACTTATATAAAGGTGTGAAATATTGATTACTTTAAATTATTAGTCTAAAATGTGTGTTATTGATTAAGTCACCAGTGTTTACATGCTCTCTCTCTCTCACTCTCACTCTCACTCACACACACAGTGATTCGGCTGAAATTACATAGTTACATAAAGGGGCATCAAAAAAACTAATAAGTGTATTTTAACTTTTTAAGATATTTTTATACAAACATTAAAAAGAAGTTGCTTTTTAATTAAAAACACGTCTTAAAAGGGATAGAGTCTATAAACTATAAACTATAAATAAACGAGAATAAAGGTCATATTTTGAAGAAAATAAAACACTTATTTTAGCGTAGATACATTACAAGATAAAAAAAACTATTAATTCATTCACATTCATGTGTGAACCAAAATATGTTATACATATAACTTTTGCATATAACTGTTTTGCTCGGGGGTAATGTTAGGGTCCATAAAACTCTTGTGGCCGGTCCTGTGAAGTCAGTTCGTCCTCGACAATAGATGTCTCTACACAAACATTTTGACACACATACACACACCAAAGCATCTCAAACGCACTCGTCTCACTCCGACTCTGCTCTGACGGTGAGCTGAGCCCCGGGACGGGACCAGCAGACAGCAGGATCATGTTAACAACGTCTGAGGAATCTCTTCAGCTTTAATCTGAACCTTCTCACCCACAAATCTCTCTACACACACACACGCACTCGGAGGCTGTTGAGGGTATAAAAACTGCTTTGTAATGTTCCTTTGATTTTCTCTAATCACTGTTTGTGTCTGTTGGGGCTTCCTCACATCCAGGTCAGCAGTTGTGCCGTTTAGGAGGCGACAGATTTTACTGGTTAGGATGTGGCCGGGTGGAGGAGGGAGGAAGGGAGTGAAGAGAAAATGACAAAATCCTGTGATGATTTGATTATTTTGTGCAGCAGAGCACTGAAGAGAGAGAGAGAGGGGGGCTTTGGATGAGGCAGGATGTTGATATGTTTGTGAATCCATTGCGTTTTTGCTTGTTGCCAGGATGATCATGGGCCCGCATGGCATCAACCGAGCCGTACAGAGGCTGGAGTTCTGCGACTGCAAAAAGGGACTCGGTGAGCATCTTCCTCCTGACCTGTCTGACCCCTGAATCATTATTATACTCTCATTTGTCTCTAAACTGCTGCTAACCTGTGTGTGTGCACAGGTGTAAAGATAATTGGAGGTTACCGAGAGCTGACAGGGGAAGAGTTCGGCATCTATATCAAGCGGGTGGTATGCGGAGGGTTGGCAGCTCAGGACGGTAGGTAGTCTTTTGGTATTTTGTCTTGTGTGGAAAGAAACACAGTTATTGTTATTTTTATTATTATTATTAATATCAACATCCTCCCTTGCCAGATCTGTCTGTCTGATTTTCACTTTCTGTTCCAGGTCGGCTTAAGTCAGGTGACCTGATTTTGGATGTCAATAACATCAGTCTGATAGGAGTGACCAATGAGAGGTGAGTTTGACGTCTGCTGTGTCTGTAGTTTATCAGTGGGTGTGTGTGTGTTGTGGGTGTGTGTGTGTGTGTGTGTGTGTGTGTGTGTGTGTGTGTGTTTGAAGAGGTATTTTAAGGTAAGAGGTATTTTGAGGTTTTAGCCATGCTAGCAAACTATGGCCGGTTGGCATAAAAACTTGAGCTAAGATTTTCTTTAAAGTTAAATATCTTAAAATAAAATCACCTGCACCAAACACCATTAAGTCTTTTCCTTAAGAAGTATTTAAAGTTTTCTCCTTATATTGGTCTTATTCTTAAGGAATCCCTTAAGTTAATTAAAGTCCCCATGAAACAGGAAGCAGAGAGCTGTTTTGATGGAGACTCATAGCACAAGAAAGCCAGCAACCAGGACATAAACTCTGACTGTATATGAACCTAGCTAAGGAAAGAAAATGTACATTATGTATAGAATTAATCAATAATCTTTCAATAAATTATAAACTTTTATACCATATAAGGTTACAGTGCAAAACGGCAGACCTGGTGTCATTAAGCCTGCTTCTTTAGCTATTCAGGCTATAACATAGTTTAACTGCTGTGAAATCTCTTTCAATGGAGTCAATTCCTTCATATTTTTCTTTAAGGAAACTTTTTAAGGGATTCTTTTCCAAAACCCTTAATGATGTCCCTCAAGCAATAAGAAATTATGCCTTAAGTGTAATACTTTAGGTGTTTTGTGCAACTGGTCCCACAAAAAATAGATTAGATGTATAGGTTTGATAGTTTCCCACTAGAGAGTGCCGCAGTGATGATGTATTTTTGTAGTTGAATCAGGAAGTTATCTTCGTAGGACAAAAAGGTATTTTTCTGTTGTATTTTGGATTATTGCAGAAAATAAACTCTGTGGTGAACAGTAGTTTATGATCATCTGCACAAAGTGATTGCACTTTTATAATGTTTTTAAGTGTAAATGCGACAACCAGAAGTGAAAAGCTAATGTATAAACACAACAAGGCTGTAGAAACGGATCATACACCAACAACCTCTGCAGTCTCATTTAGACACTTGTTAGCAACCGCTAACAGACACGTAAAAGCTTCAACATTCACAGGTGGAGTATTTACTGTTGGATTTTATGTCATATAACAAAATGTGAAAATCCCAAAACACAGACCTTATTTCAGGCATCTTAACAAAAACCTGTTGACTTTGAGGAGCGGGAACCAGAGGAGCTAAAATGCTAACACATTACTGGTACGATCTGGTGTTCCAGATAAACAATGTTTGTGAACAGATTTGAGGAGAGAAATAGTCAATGCAGTAACAGAATCTGGATTCATTGTGTTGGCTTTACTTCACAGACCCGGATTATATTTACTGTCAGTGGTTTTAGGACTTATCAGAACATCAGAGGTTTCATGTGGGTTTGGTGATTTAATTTAATGTGACCAAATACCTGCAAAAGTAATAACATTCCCATCTGCCTCAGTTGAATTTTGTATTTAGTGCTAATTAGCAAATGTTTTATTAAAGGGAACATGGCCCACACACTCATTAATCCATTCATTAAGTACTATCTGCATTTGTTATTTTTCTGAATGTTGATCTGCACACCTGCTGTTTCCTGACAGGGCGGTGGAGATCTTGAGGACAGCCTCGCTCTCTAATCACATGTCCCTGCTGGTCGCCAGAGACGACGAATCCAGGTAACAACTGTGATGTAATGACCTGTACTCTGAGTTTCCTTACCCCGGCAGGTAGTCTAGTCCTAAGATTAACCAGCACACCTTGTGATCAAGATCTGCTCCCCCACAGGAGTGCTGATGTGATTTGATTTTGATTTATCTAAAATTAGTCCTAGTACAGTAAGAACATTATGGTCCTTAAGTTCACCTTCAGAGTCAGCGTTCCAGTCGAAGGTCCTTAAATACCATTAGTGCCTTCAGTGGTCCAAGAACAACCGGTATTCCCTTGGTTGTTTTATTTGGGCAGAGAAGCGACTGCTATCGTAACTGAAGGAATTATTATTTTTCTGCCAAAAGAATCGCAGTTTTGTAGGCTGAAAATGTGTCAAAAGAGCAGCCTCAGTGCGAGGATTTCACCTACATGGATGAAAATTGGTAGGCACATGTATTATATCCAGACACAGCCTCAAACCCAACAATGATTAATACATTTTGACACCATTTGTACCATTTCCATGTATTGTATTTTAACAAACTCCTCCTAAAGAGTTGATTAGATCTACTTCACATTCGATCAGTACTCTGTCATTTAGGATGAAAACTTTTGGTTTCATCAAACTGCATATCCGTGGTTTGGAAAATCACATTTGCAACTACAACATTTCAAGAAAGCAGCCCTGGCGTCCAGTTTCACCCAGACATACAAAAATGATTAGGCACTTGTATCATGTCCAGACAGACAATAAAGCCTCTTGGACCCATACCCCAAACCCAATTGGAAGTCGCCCATTTTGAATTTAATAATACATTTTGGCGGCATTTTGCCATTTCCAGGCTTTATATTTTAACAAACTCCTCTGAAGTAATTCATCAGATCGACTTCAAATTTGGTCAGCACCCACTAAAGATGTTCCCGATGAAAATATATCAAAAGCTTGAGTTTTCATCAAACAGCCTGTACATGGCGCGGCGTCTTGTATCAAGGTTTCGCTATTAAACAGGAAGATGTTGTAACTTGAAACATTCTTCAATCTTCCCAAAACTTCACATTTGATAAAAGTCCCATCTACATGGAAAAATTCAGCCAAAGTCATAGTCCCAACTACTGGAAGCAGGAAGTCAGCCATTTTTCACTTCATTCACTTTTTTGTGGACTTGAATAGGTCGTTATTTCTTATTTTCCAACCAACTGGGTTATCAGAATCAGGGTGATTGGTGACTGGCTCCATCGTCGGTTGATGGATAAATTATCCAACATCCGTATAAATATATAAAACTGTTACAAAGCTAAGATAAGCGGTTCCTCATAAAGATGTTCTCCAAGGAATCGTCATGGATCCCCAATGTGATGATTCTGCGACACCCCCAACCTATAGAAATGAACCGCGTGAGTATTTCGATCCGTCCTTGGTTCAGACTGTGAGAGGAACCTGTGTGGCTGACAGGCAGCATCCTGCGGTTCACCAGCAGGAGGTAAACTGACCTGGCACTCTGCTGTCCCCGGTGCTTTTCCACGTCAGCCTGCCATGTCAAGACAAACTCACAGTGACACAATAAGGACGCTCTGCTGTCTGTCCGTGGGGTTCTACACAGGAAAAAAGAGTCTAGCTGATCAGAGATGCAAAGCAACACAAAGATCAGCAGAAACAAGAAAGCAGGCTCATTTCCGGGTTGCACTTTTTGCAGGACACAGTCGTTTTCTGTGTGGCCACCGTAGCTTCTACCATTTATAAATAGGGGAACAAAAAGCAGAGAACAGGTTGTTTTTCGTTTGTATTTTCAAGACAAAAATGCTGGTTTTGTCAAATTGCGTATCCATGGTGTGGAAAATCATATTTGGACATAGACATACAGAAATTATTAGGCACTTGTATGATATCCAGATAGACAAAAAAGCCTCTAGTACCAAATAAGGAATTTTTATTTTCAAACAAAAAACGCAAAATGAGTTTTTTTCATTTTCTGTTTTTATTTTCAAGACACAAAAAATAGTAAATTTCTATATTTTGTTCCTCTGTTTGAATGGTGGTCCGGAAATGAGCCATTTTGGTTTTCTCATTTACAACAAAAATCAGTTGACCACTGACCATAAATGTTGACGAGATCGTTTGGAGGAAAATGGAGGAAATGAGCAGATGTGATTCAGTGCGGAACAGAAGGTGATTTGAGGTGCGACCTGCTGAAAAAGTTTGCAGCCTGCAGCGGTTGATAGGAGCCAACTGTGTTGTTGTGACTGCAGAAGAAAGGTCGTCCCACCTCTGGCAGAGAGAGGAGTCCTTTCATTTTCATCCTTATTACGAAACCAAAGCAGCAGTGAAATATGTGTGTGTGTGTGTGTGTGTGTGTGTGTGTGTGTGTGTGTGTGTGTGTGTGAGCGGCTTTGTGCCGACACGTCAGGTATTCACCTCAAAGCGGCGATTTGTTTTACACTTAAATTATGATTGCATGCAGCTGCCTCTGAGCAGGTCATGGCGAGGACACCGCGATGAAATCATGCAGTGGGGATTTGGTCCCGGTGTCCTCACAGGTTCACTGGATAAAAACAGAAAAACAAACGTAGAGTCTATAAGCTCATTGATGGAGTTTTGTGAGTTCAGGATGCTGAAGCGGATCGAGACTTGGATTTCTGGAGGTTTATGTCATTTTTAAGCTGCTGTACAGACAGAAACAGTCGAGGAGTTCTCAGGTTATAAATACGTCATTTTTTTGGAGCCTGTTTTATGTCTTAATTTCATCAAAATGACAAAAACTATTAACTGGCTTCAGTTTAACCACTTTAGTCCTTCTAGAAACAATCCAAATATTCTTAAATATAATCAAATCTTCTTGTATGGAGCAAAACAAATTTGCCATTAAAACAGTTTAGCTTGGTTAAAATTCTTAAAACATAAAAATCTATCCACTGAAAGACTGTAAAAGGCCTTAAAACTAGAAAAATGACAAAAATGTAAGTTGTGTTTATTACAAGCAATGAAAACTCATTATTCATTACTCATTACAGTTATTTTAGATTCTTAAAATAAGAATTTTGCTCACTTTATTGAGCTGAATTTAAGAATGTGTACCTAATCTGAGATTAATAATTAGCAATAAAAATCTTGTAAAACAAGGTTCAAGCAGTTGAAATACAATACTGACAGAAATGTAGAATTATTTTATATATTATATTGAGAGTGTTACGAATCTCTGTATTCCATTGGGTATTGATTAGGCAAAGTCCTGAGCATTTTCTTACTTTTAGACTAGTTAACTAGTCTAAATTTAAATTTCAGTTCAATTGAATAAATCTATATTATGGATCTGGATGGAGTCACAAACATACAGGTGCTCTGTTGTTCGTACATTTGTGGGTCTGCTGTGGTGAAACTAAAATGGCATGTTGCTTTAAATGTTGCTGCAGCAAGTAAAAGGTAAAGGAAGCTCCAGTGTATACTCTTCTACAGCTCTCATCATTTCACTCAGTCAGGAACCTTCCTGAGCAACAAACACTATTGGAACGCAGCCTGTGTGCTGACAGGTGACCAGTGTCTGTGACCTCTGACCTCTGAATGCTTTGTCTCAGTGAGTGGTGCATTCACATCCACATCAGACAGTGATGTGCGAGCGAGCAATACGTCCATGTGAGGGAGACAAACACTCACAGATCTGCCTGCTGTCAGCACAAAAAACCCAGACGCTGTCAGAATAATACATCACACACACGTTCTGCAACCAGACAGTGAGCAGAGGTCAGTTTCACAGCTGGAAACCCTGCTGTGTCACTCTGTGGATTTCAATGTTTTCAGATCAGTTGGTGGAGGACAGAAAGGAAACAAGATGCAGATTAATGCAATATGTCATGACTCTTATTTTGAAGTAAAATATGGTTCTCCAAAGTGACCATCAGATGACCTGTACCAGAGGTCTTATAAGTCCATATTACTACCAGTACCTTTTATTTTATTGTTTTGGTGCTCTTGCACTTTGAGCCTCTGTGGTACATGTTTTTAATAGTACCTGAAGTACACTGCCCTCTACAGGCTAACTGCAGTAACTACACTAACAATGAATTGATTGTTGGTTGGATTAATTACTGGCAGTTTTACATCTTTTTCTTTCTAAGATAGAGCGAGACTGAACTTAGACAATGTGTCACAAGATAAAAAAGACATTTAAAAGTTCATTTTCAGTCAGAACAGTTTGCATTTGTAGGGAAGTATAAGGGAGTCCAGAATAGGGTTGGGTATCAGTTGGGTTTTATCCGATACTGATGCCTACTCGGTATTTTTTAAACGGTTCCGGTGCTGAAACGGTTCTCGAACTGGTACTTAAAAAAACGAAACCACACACACTTTGTCAAAAAACAATACCCTTTTATTTCCAGGGCCAATTTGAACACAATATTAAGTTAACGACATGGCACACGTTGTCACTCACGCTGTTGAATGGCAACAGTGTTTGCTAGCCTACTTGACATGCATGATTGGCATTAAATTACTAGATTTACCTGAAGAGGAAAGGCTGATGTCATCATCATCATCATCTGTGATGTCCACCACCACACTGGCAGGGTTTGGAGTCTCTTCAATTTGTCCGGCGAGGTGAAAAAAAAAAGTCAGGCACCGAAATGTTCGTTCTTATTCGGTCTGGTTACTACCGTTTACATCAGAACCGGTGTCCTATTGGTACTGCGTTTCGGTACCCAACCCTAGTCCAGAATGATGCTTCTATTAACATTAATATTTTCTTTTCTGTTTATTGTTGTTAGAGATCCACAATATGGATTTATTTTTAGCAGATATGATAATCGATAATTTCACATTTTTATATTTTAAAAAGAAGTAGTTGTACTTACTTACTTGATGTTTGAATACTGTTTTCAAAAATTATAAAATGTTCTTGTCAAATTTAAATTTAATCAAAATAATGATATCTGTGTGTGTATGTGTGTGTGTGTGTTTGTGTGTGTCCTTCAGGAGGGAGTTTGCGGAGCTGATGGAAAAGTACGGCTCCAATAATATCACAGCTTCAGGACGAATCTCCCCGACTCAGGTCTCCACAGGTAAAACACCCACAGACAGACAGACAGACAGGCAGGCAGGCAGGCAGGCAGGCAGGCAGGCAGGCAGGCAGACAGACAGACAGACAGACAGACAGACAGACAGACAGACAGACAGACAGACAGGCAGGCAGGCAGACAGACAGGTAAGTTATTTATAAGCAGTTACGGCTGCAGCTTTAAGGAAAGTGAGGACTTTCCTAAAAATGTTCTTAGCTTCCAAAACTATGACTGCTTTCTCATTGCTTTCCAATCTTTTTGACTTTAAAAAACTGTCACAGCAATGTCCCCACTTTTTAAGTATATCCTCCAAAAAATGCTCTCATAGCCTCGTTTTCCAATTTGTTTACTTTAAGAAATGTCCCAATTTTCAGAAAATGTCCATACTTAAAAGTCCTGTTTCCTCGCACTTTAAAAATAGTCTCACTTTCCAATGTCCTCTTTTTTGAAAGACTTCTTGACTTCCTGAAATGTTCTCGCTCTCAAGGTTTAAAAGTGAGACAGAAATAAGTTTGATGCTACAGTGAGACGTCTGATTACTGATATTATAAAAGTAATTGAACCTGTGTTGTCTTTGTCTTCCTTCATCCCCCACTCTCCCACCTCATCTTCTCTTGTCTCTGTTCAGGGAAGCTGACAGAAACGGCCTCTTCCTCCTCCTCTTCCAGATCAGAGAGCCCCCAGCTCCTCAGTCCTAAAGAGGGGGTCACCGCCTACACCCATGCCCCCCCGTACACCGCCAACCCCGCCTACACCATGCACGCGCCCACACACGCCTTCAGGTAGCACATTTCAGCCTTTGTACAGATAACTTAAACCCTAAAATGATGGATCATATATGGAGCCAGTGCAGTTTCTCAGTGTTTGATTATTGTTTATTATTTTTAATTAATTAGCTGGAAATGCATTTAAATTAATTAAAGTTAAATTAGAAGTTTAAAACGAAGTCGCAAAATGAATCCGATTTTAATTTGAACTTTCTCTGATTCTATTTACAGTTTGTAAACAGTTTGTACAATTCATTTGTTTTATCATTTGAATTTACCTGTTCTAAGCCCCGCCCCTTTTTGCTCTGTGGTCCAATATAAGTTGAGCAAGCCTCGGTCACCTTCCTCCTTTCCTGTACTGAGATATGCTGTGTGCTAGACATTGATGTAAGTTATACATTTTGTGGAGAGCTCAGAGAAGCGTTGGTACATTTCTTTTTGCCAACATACGAAACGGCTTTATTACTGGTCATATCCACCTCTACATTACATTACTTAATGTATTGTTTGGATTCACGGATTTGACAGGAATCTCCGTTCACAGTTCTATTTCTTTGTCTTTTTGGAAGGTGGTTACATAAAGTGTTAAACTGTATTTCTGCAGCAATTGGAACACCAGCAATGGCTAAAAATAGTGAAAAGCATCTTCAGCAATTTCACAGAGAAGTGTGGGAAGACCAGAGAGAGAGCGATAGAGAGAGGAAGAGGAGGAGGAGGAGGAGGAGGAGAGATTATGTCATGGTGGGATTGAATGTGAACTTGGCTTTGTGGATTTTAATCATGCTTAGTGTCATCCTGACTCTCTCTGTGTTTCTCTCCCCAGTGACAGTGTCATTCAGTTGATATGCGTTGCCAAGGGAACAGGCCTGGGGCTCGTCATCAAGGGCGGAGCTAACCGTGCAGAAGGACCAATGGTGTTCATTCAGGAAATAGTGCCTGGAGGAGACTGCCAGAAGGTCAGCGTTGTGGTATTTAATGAAAACAAAACATTAAATGAATGCTGCAAACAGCGATGAACAGGTGCTCGCAGTCCATGAGTGTCGGGGCGCGTTGCGGTCGTCACATCATGCAAATTTCAAATAAATTAGATGATGATTACCAAACAATCCTTACTTCCTGTTTTCCAGTAGTTGAGTATAACCAAATATTGCCATGCAGAAATGTTCAGGGCGGGACTCTTAGAGATTTTTGATTGCACTGACCAAATCCGATCCACTTAATTCTTTAGGAGGAAATACAACACCTGGAAATGTTGAAAAATGCGCTAAAAGTGCACATACACTTAAAAAATAGTCGACTTCCTGTTGGGTTTGGGGTATAGGTCCAAGTGGCTCTTTTGTACGTCTAGACATGATACATGTACCTACTGATTTTACGCCAGACCTGTGAAACAGAACGCCGGGGCTGTAAAATTGTGTAGGGGCGCTGTTGAGCCAATTTACCACAAATATGTACAAAACCCATATCATGTGTTCAGTTTCATAAGTTTTTATGGTTGCATAAAATGCTGTTTATCTCAAAAAGTGTTATCTTCGTACAAGCTCTCCCCACTGGTGTTCCCCTAGGCTCAATTCTGGGACCAAATCGTAATTCGTCGTTACGCAGATGACACCTAGATTTATGTTAGGACTCAACCATGCATCTTTTAAAGCAATTTGTTTCTAAGATGTGAAGATCTGAAACTCCTTTTTCAGCTTCACAAAAATACATTCAAATTAGTTTTATTCATCCAAAATTGTTTTGTTTGTTAATTTGTTGTATCACACCAAATTTCATCGCGACACCACAGAATAATCTCAGATTTTTGATTTTCATCCCTTTAGGAGTGTTATAATTCTATGTATTTTAAAGCTAAATCCAAACCTATACCTTCACCTTATGCAAAATGCAGATTCTACACTTTTACTAAATAAGCCATAATAAGAAACCAAACTGTTGTGATCTAACCAACACAAAGTGTTGAACTAAAAAGTCACCTAAAAACATTTACTATGTTCCTTTGTCCCAGTGGGTCAGTTGCTCCACTGAGCACAAGGATCTGAACATTTCTGTATATTCATGCTGTTTCAGGATAGCAGGCTGCAGGTCGGGGACCAGCTGGTGTCCATCAACAAAGAGTCCCTAATCGGAGTGACGTACGAGGAGGCCAGGAGTATCCTGACACGCACCAAACTCAGGTCCAACACACCTGGAGACTGTTTCAAAGGCATAAATTATTCAAGATAAGAAACAAAAAGAGAGGAGTTTGGCTCTAAAATAAGACTAGAACAAAATCTAGTAATTTCTCAACATACAAACTTAAAATCTGGGTGAAATAAAAAATGGAATGTTAACCCTCTATGATTGCATCCTCGGGTATATTGATCCATTATAAAAAAAACCCAAAAAACTCAAACTCCAATCATTTTGTCTTTCTGTAAAACAAAATGTGTTTGTGGTTAAACTAAAGGTCTATCTCTGTAGGGATCATAAAACCATAATGCTGTCAGACACTGACAATAACAACCTGAGTTTGTCAATAGCAGAAACAACTACTGTTAGTGGACGGACTTTGACGATGCATATAAGGATAATATGCAGCATGTTATGCGGGTCCTATTATTATATTATTATTAAGATTGAAAAATACCAAAGTAACCCTTTAATTCAAAGGAAACTAAACCTATCAATACTCATATTCTCAGAAGATATTTCAGGTAATATAAAGATTGTAACTGTTTCAAAACATTGTGCCCTTTGTGTTTTAGACCAGACCCCACTGTGGAAATTGCCTTCATCCGGCGGAGGTCGTCTTCCAGCTCCAGCAGCGGGCCTCACAGCCCCATCTCCCTCCAGGGGTCCAGCTGTGGAGGCGGTCCCCATACAAGGCCCTCGGGGCAGGGCGCCACGCCACCTCAGCCTGCCGTGGTCACCAGGATCACTTCCAGTCGAAACCCTGCCAGCGAGACTCTGCCGGCAGTCAACGTCAGCCAGGTGTTCACTTGAATAAACTCCTCAGAAAATGTTATTGATTCATTTATTTGAAGTGACTTCTTTATGTCACACATGCACCTTCTGCAGCGAACAGAGGGATCATTACATCAGACATCAGATCATGACACATTAACACGCTCTTATCAAACCATTATTAATATGTTGTGTTAATATTTGCAGGTGCGAGTGTCTCCAGCCAGAACAGAGCAGACACATGTCTCCTCCCCACCAAAGAGCGAAAGCATCACTGACTCTAACCCCGGTATGTTCCTGTAATCCTCGGAGGAAACTCAAAAGAAAATGTAGAAAATGTATTTACAGTGATAATAATAAATAAATCAGCTGACAGATTTACAATCACATTTTACAGTTCAATCTGAAACTTTAACTATATTAATTCATATCTAACTGCATCAAGCTCATCTGACTTCTCAAATCTTAAAAAGAAACTTTCCTTTTGTGTTGATTCTGGCGGCCCCTGTGGACAAAAATGGTAGTAATTCTACTGCCATTGATTTCAAGGGGAATCCAACTGGTGACATGTACAGTCAAAATAGGTCCACACTGTCACTTTTAAACCAATTTCCACTGGTGACAATAGTTGTCTTTTGAACGTCTTTTGCCGGGTGAAGAGCACAGGAACTACACAGGAAGTGCCTTTATATAATACATTCTAACAATAATAGGACAACAGGGTTTTGAACATGTGCAGACACGCGTAAGTGCAGACGAGCTGCTTGTAGACTGCGAGGTGTAAATCTGGTCTGCTGGAGACAGACGAGGTAGGATGCAGCGTGAGGGACAGATGGCGTGCGGTTGGCTGCCTGTCGGAGGAGGAAGTGAGGCAGGCGGGAGGTCTGGCCTACGATTGGCTGAGGAGGTGTGAAGCGGCGTCACATCTCTATGTGAGCGAGGGATCCTGAGGACTTTCTCCATATGTGCAAGTTGTGGAGTTTGGCATCTGACGTCACGCCTGCAGGCTGGGTCGATCACATGTTCAGAATAAAAGGGAACTTCCAACATTCGCTCCAGTTGAACCAACACCAGTTAACCAACGGTCCCCTGGGCATGTTAAAGCCCCCCACCCGTCCTGTAATGGAGAAAGTCATTATTTTGTCTCTTTGTATTGACTTTGTGTCTTTGTAGCCCTGTTGTGTTGTGTCTGTTGTAGCTTTGTGTATCTTTTTTGACAATCTGGATTGGATTTTGAGTCTCTTTATCTTCGTTTTGTGTCTCTTTGTAGTGATTTTTTTGTCTCTTTGTGGTCTCTTAGCATCTCTTTGCAGCCATTTCTTGTCTCTGTGGTCAATTTGTGTCTCTTTGTGGTTATTTTATGTGTCTTTGTGGTCATGTTGCATGTCTCTGTTGTAGCTTTGTGTGTCTTTTTTGACAATTTTTCAGCATCTCTTTAGTCATTTTGTGTCTCTTTGGAAGGAGTTTTGTGTCTTTGTAGCAATTTTGTGTCTCTGTGGTCATTTTGACATCACAATCTGCAATACTAGTGATTCCTGTGAAAGAGTGTTTGGAAGATGTATCACTTAGTAGTTAAAAATCTGCGCTCCCTACATACAGCTGACACATCAGATACCATTTTGTTTTTAGGTGTATAATATGACAGATATGCCTGTCTGCACGCTTTGCCGACACATGCACGCTCTTTAGTGCTCTCATTATCTGACAACGTGCACTGGATCCAATATCTGTTGTAAAGCAATGAAGCTGAAAATAATTGTCGACACCCCTTCCTACACGTTTCTGCACATGTCGTCGGGAGTATAGTCCAAGAGGAATATATCAGCATGTGAAAGTGTGATACGTGTTATATATGTCACGCTATGATTAAAACTGGGCCAGATTTTGGTTGATTTCCTCTCTGCCTTTAAAGCTCTAATATGAAACCTTTCCTCGTTCTTTCAAAACCCTGACCCTGTTAGCCTCAGTCTGTTAGCATAATATTATAACCTGGGACCTGATAGCTCTAGCTGTTAGCTGTTATCCAGTTTGAAGCCACATGTTTACCATCCACTGTTTAGATCTTGGTGGTTTTTAACTTTTGAGGTAGACCCAGAACAGAGACATTATATATCTCCTCTGGGCTGGGAACCCATCGGGCTCCCCCAGGAGGAGATGGAAAACGTTGCTTGGAAGAGGGACGTTTCGCCTTCTGTCACTGGATAGGAGGCGGGAAAGGGACGGATGGATGTAGACGGTCGAACGCTGTTAATTGAGTTTAATTTTAAGAATCTAATCTCTGTGTGTACAGAAGCTGCCAGCAGTCAGTCTCAGCAGAGGAAATGTTCCCTGAGCACCAGCTGTCGCCTCAAACTGGAGAGGTTGGAGCAGGTGTGTATTGATGTGTGTGTGTGAGATTTATTTTTAATATTAATAATTGATTAGTTTATTAACAGAAAATTCATTAAAACATTTTTGATATTTGATTAATAGTAGGATAAGGAACTTTATCCTGTTACAGATCTACACAAAATTAATGACAAAATGAAAACAATGTTTAAGTTTTTTGAAAATTAAATTGTTTAATTTAATTTTAAGTTTTAACTGAACAAAAAGATTTGAATCTTCTAACAAAGATAAAATAATATATCATTCAACAACTGTGTCTATAATGTTAACTCCAGCCAGCTTGTAGGTCAGGATCTGCCTGGGCCACAGTCGGGCCTCAGCCAGGGACACAGTTGGGCCTCTGAGTCCAGTGATTGTTATTGTTGTCAGAGAAGAAGAATGAATCGCTCATAAAACAAGTTTTCATGTTTCATCTCGATCGTCTCAAACTGCTGAAAGTGCAGATTCAGGGTTTTCACCGGGCAGTGACAGTATCCTGGCTGTTCGTCAGTATCAGGGGCGTCACCACTGTGATCAGAGTGTGTATTGATCCCTGTGTATTGATCCCTGTGTGTGTGTGTGTGTGTGTGTGTGTGTGTGTGTGTGTGTGTGTGTGTGTGTGTGTGTGTGTGTGCAGGCTCTGGATCTGCTCGGTCTGAAGCCCTCAGAGGCTCAGTGGCAGGCGATCAGGTCCAGACTACGAGCTGATCCGGCTGGGACGGTGGCCTTCGCAGGTAAGTGAGCAAATCACTGAATCCTGTATTCCCTCTGCTTACCCTGAAATAAACCGACAGAATCTTTTACTCACATTTATTATTGATCTTTGCCTCTTCACCCTGAAGCAGCCCTTCATGTCGTACATTGTTATTCTGGATGATTGAACTGCTGAGAATTAGCTGCTTTATCGTTTGCAGTCTTTTACTGAAGTGAAAGTAAACTGTTTAATATTTGACTGTATATTTACAGTAAATTACTGGCTACTAGTTGCATTACTTTCACAGCTAGTTACGTAATTCATTGTTAATCATTTGGAAATGACAGCTGTATACTGTGACCTCATAGCAGTTATGCCACCATATTACTGTAATTTAGCAGTATACTCCTGTAGAAATACTGTATTTAACTGTAACTTTACAGTTTCTTAGCTAACCAAGTCAATGTGTTTATTGCACATTATTAAACACACAGTTTAGAGATTTTCATGTTTTGTTCTTCGACATAAAAGACGTCAGTAAATACCCAACCTGTGCCAGTAGACTCGTTGTGTTTATACTCTTGTACAACTTGTAGATTTTACAAGATTTAATTACAAATTGGAAGTTTAGTCGTGGTGACGGTGGTGTTCGTTTATAGCCTTTTTACTTTTGGTGATCACCAACAAAACGTGTTAATAGTTCCTAAAGGAAGGAAGGAACCAGGGCGACGCTAACTTTTGGGTTGGACTACAAAATGCGTCATCTCTGCAGCGCTCTATAGTCCTTGTCCTCAAATAGACCTGTGACTTTTATCACTTGTAGTTCAAGTCAACTTTATCCTTCATTTTTTCTGGAAGTTAATTTGACCTTTATTTTCCTTCAAACTGTGTTAGAAACCAGCACAAACAGCCAGAGAAAGCTATCAAATATAACTGATTATGTATTTGTGTGTACAGAGTTTGAGAGTCTGATCAGGGAGCTGTTTAAGCCTCAGCTGGAGGAGTTGGCCGGCACCCAGCCGGGGTCGAGGTTCACATCTGATGACCTGTCCAGTTTGTTGGAGTCACCTGTCAACCCACAGGTAGGAGCTCACTGCAGCACTGACCATCAGAAAGTCCCAAACAATCAATCAAACGTAGCACCTTTCATACAGGTTAGTTCAAAGTGTTTCACAGATGACTAAGACCTCGAAATAGAAACTAATAAAACTGCATAAATTAAACTTTAAAATACAGTACAAAAAATTACTTGATGAGAATAAACAAATAAAAATATATATTTTTTTACAACTAAATATGATAAAATAAGTGAATTAAATTAAGTTAAAATCTTAGTTTAAACCCAGGTTGAAGAGACTTTACAGATAAACATTAACACTTCCAGCTGCTTTATAAAACAAGTCCAAAACAGGTCCCAAACAAGTCTCGAACAAGTCCTACAAACATGACGAAAAGCAAAAATTCTAAAATCCACAGCTCAGTTTGTTTTCAGTCTGTAGCAAGTCTCTATGCTACTGTGGGTTCCCTCAGCACACAATCTGACAACACTGGTCCATTGTACAACACAACTTTTATTAAGTCGTAGCTGTCACCACAGACAACATACAACAACTTCATAAATCTCTCTCACTCGTCTGTCCACCACCCAGGTCCAGCACACAACTGCAATATGAGGAGAGAGTGATTACACAATGAGTACCACCTGTGATCATCAACTCACCTGGCGCTGCTCTCACAAGCCTTCCCCACACCTCTCTCTCTCCTGCAGCTGAGTGTAAACCACACCCACCTCCACACAGTCCAAAAGGGGGAATAAAGAAATCAGAAGATTTTTGTTCTAGCAGGAATTTAAAAGCGGACTCGATAAACTGGTGGAAGATTTGTGCTGTGCTCGTTTTATTAAAGTGAAAGATCACAATATAGAAAATCACAATATAATGTTGATTCTTATCTTCTGAAGAGGAGACATTTTTCTCCTGAATTGAAAGACATGCTCTTTCCGACAGGGAACTGAAGTCGTTATGTGGCTCCCAAATCTACCAGACTCCTTTTGATAAAAACAGTAATTTTACCTCTCAGAACAGACCTCCTCTACCGCTGCCTCCATTAGTTTGTGTTATTGTGGGACTTTGGTGATCCAAACTTACATGGTAAAACACCAAAGTGGCTTTGAAGAGAGCATAGATGGATGTAACAGCTTAAGTTCCCCGCAAGGAAGTCTGACGAAAATGTAAAGTGGTGAATATAGCAAACACTTAAACCAATACCGATAAAATAGGCTGCTGCATCGTTCACATAAGTACTCACAAGCCTTATTTTCTGGTATTTTTCTTGCCAATTTTTTGCATGTTTTCTCGACTGTTTCCTACCTTCCATCTGCAGTTCGTGCTGCAGGAACACAACAAGAGTGTGATTTGTGTTAAACTTTACAAACGTTGGCATGTGGTCAATAAGAAACCATAAACATAAACCATAAATTCCTGAGATAACTTGTGTTATGAATTGGCGCTGATAAAAAAAAAAAAATTAATTGAATTAAACATCATCCAACTTGTTTATGGCCTGATAGATACTACAGTAGAAATACTCATTATTTTACATTTTAAATCAAAAAAGTCATTCTTTAAAAATATATAAATGTTCAGATACAGGATTCAGTGATAATTAGATTTAATGAACATGTGAATAAATAACAGTATAAAGGTATATAAGGTAAATGACCCCATCCCATCAGGTCTCTATCATGGTCATGTTGGGTCATTATCTGGTGTGACGTGTTGGTTTGTTGGTCCAAACCACTCGATGTGGGCGCTCCGACATTGATCTGTTGGCGTGATAACCGTCAGCAGGGTGTAAAGATTTTCTATGCTGCCGGTGTCAAACAGTATCGGAGCAATAATCAATCACAGCCTGAAGGAAAAACAACTGTACATACTGTTTGACTCCAGCCACAAACACCGTCCTGCTGCCCCGAATACTCACCCGAGCACCAAATGTGGATTAATCCGCAGTTGGAAGTAGTCCCCATATAGAAACTATATATTTGTGAGGTGTTTTAGCTTTTGCTTTGAACATTGAGGGTTAATATCAGGAGGTTTTAGGGGTCATATGCTGATTGATGGCGGCTCAAAGGGATATTTTGCGTGTACAACCCTTACGTTGGTGTTAATGAATGTAAATGTGAGTGTGTATCTGTGTGCAGCCGTCACTGTCAGACTCAGAGGACCTGGAGGAGATGGAGAGGCTGAGGAAGGAGCACATCGAGGCTCTGAGGGAGATCAAGAGGCTGCAGGTAAAACAATCAATCGATCGATCAATATCAGCTTTTACGGTTAAAGTCACCCCATGTCGCTGACTGTGTGTGTACTTCCTGTTGACTTCCTGGTGACTCTGCCGTTCAGGAGCAGCTGGTCGAGTCTCAGAGAGTTCACCTTCAGACGGAGGAGGAGCTCAGCAAAGTCAAACAGGTGAGTCACACCTGCTGCAGGTACAATCAATCTTAATCAATCTGCTCCAGTTATTGTGTTACTGTTAATCATGTGGTCACATCTGAACATGAGAATTACAATTTCAAGGTACGTCTACCTGATTTGAATATTTTCACTTGATGTTGTAACAATTAAGATTTAACCTACAAACTACAGTAACTAAACAATATCTAATAGAAGCTCCACTTCTTCCATCATTACAATACATCAGTAAAAATAAGAAGAAGAAGAAGCACAATAAGCACTGTGGGTAATTCTGCATGATTGAGCCTTCTTAAGCCCCGCCCCTTTTTCTTCTGCACTCCAATCACAGTTGAGCCAGCCTCGGTCAACTTCCTCCTTTCCTGTGCTTATGCTATATGCTAAGCTAATATTTGTTGAAAGACAACCACATTTTAAAGATGGTTAAAAGATTGAGGAGCACATCTATAGGTACAGTCTCATCTTAAGTTAGCTGATGTTTGCATAATGATGGCTAACTAACTATCAAATCTGCATCAGTCGTTAGCTGCTCAATGTCTGACATCAGCCTGGTCTCTGTATATTAATAAAGTATTTCAGATAAATTACTGGGATAAAAGGCCTCTTTGATCTTTATGGGGATTAAATGAGAACAGAACAGATGCATTCTGGTCCTAGAAGCACTGAACTCCCTCAGATGAGAATGGATCTCTTTCATAGAGAAGATCATTGGGGTAAACTGCAGGATTCTGACGGTATCGGAACACCCTCGCCCTCCGCAGTGACTCTGTCGTCTGACTCTGCAACCCCTCACCTTCTTCCTCATGAGCTGGCCTTAACCCGTAACCACGAAGGTAACCCGCTCACAGCAGCTCAAACATGGAGAGTAAATCACAATGACGGTTTACACCTGACGTCACCTGGATGAAACTGACCCTCTGGATCTCAGGAGGAACAAACCTTTACAACAACAACAATATTCATCAAGTGTAATCTGTGCTGAGAGTTTGTTGAGTTTCTATACCGGGACGGTGTGTGTGGGCTCTTGAAGGGCTGCTTCTTTTAAAATAAATCAGCAGGTGAAGCTCGACACACACTTTACCCTGCAGTTATCTGTGTGTGTGTGGGGGAGGCTGAGGCGGACTCACACAGCTTACAGCGGGAGGAGTGTGAGGCCACCATTGAGGCTTTTTTTCAAGCTCTAAAATAGCTCCTCCTTGTGTTTGTTTGTTGTGATTCATAGCTGGAGGGTCTCGGCCTCTCTGACTCCCACTCTCCTGCCTCAACTTTCATCCTGTTGCATAAACCGATCGATATCTACATTTAGACGCGGCGAACATAAGTACAGCAACAACAAAAGCCTCGGCCGGGACATTTCCTATCTGTGTTCTGAGGATTTACTTCATGTTCAGGCTTTTATTTTGCTGTCAGGCACTTCCTGTTTTATATCCTGCAAGTTGCAGCCATAAAAAACTCCTGATCTCCTGCATTTTGCTTTCTACAATATCTGCACACGGCTGCTAGGTTGAGGTTCAGGTTGGAGAAAGAACGTGGTCACAGTTAATAAAATAGAAGGTGTGTGACAGGACGACGACGTGTTCAAGCTGTTTTAGACAACGTTTATGATTCTACCAGAAACATCCTCAGCACTAGTCTGATGAGCATTAACCACTAAATGTAGAAGTTTACTTCAAAACGTATTTTATTCACAGCTTTTATACGCAGTGAAGAGACGATGCTGCTGAAATATGACTCATGATATACAACCACAGAATCAGAATAGATATAAACAGGAAAACCATGTAAACGTACACATTGTTTACACTGTATAAAGACCAAAGATTGGAAAGAACCGTAAATCTCACACACTGTCAGTGACTTCATTCCATATAAATAAAGTGAGTGACCAACAGTGAGTTTTTGGTCATTACAAAAGAAAAGTCTTCAGAATCACTCAGAATTAAGTAGCTGAGGCTCCTGAATAACCTAAAGTGAATTTAATACTCTTTCCTCTGAGGGTGGCGTTTTGACAGCGCTGTTTCAGCTTTCAGTGCAATCAGCAGCTCAGACTGAGATTTGACTTTGGTATTACATAACAATCAAACAAAGCCAGAAACTGCAGTGAATGCCAACCTCAGACTGTCGGGTTCGGGATGGAAACTGGACCAGCCGCTGCTCTTTTGTCCTGCCTCTCGCTGCCAGGTTGTGCAGCTTGTGCACAGCCGGGGGGTTTTTCTTCCATTATGTTGCCTGTTCTGGGGAGCTGGAGGGTGAGCGGCAGAGGGGAGGCAGAGGGGAGGCAGTTGACATGCTCCCTCATTAGAGCTGGAGGTCAGGCTTCAAGATAGGAAGGGGGCCCCCCCTTCTAGACCCCTGAGGCCACAGCTGGAGGGAAGACAGCTCATGCTGGGATCCATTAGTTACCCAACCAGTCGAGCCCGACCACACACACACACACACACTCTCCAGCTGCATTTAAAATCCTATATAAAGACTAATTTTAACACTGTGACCTGATGCTGACAGTGACATCAACGTACTGTACCATTACTAACTCTAATAGTGCATCATACAAGACAGGCAGCAATCAAACAAAGAGAGAAAGAGTCAGAATCTGCTTCCACTGGTAGAAAATGAAGCAAAGAGCAGTCCCGTTCTGCAGACTGAAAACTGCATATAAATTTAGACGATGATCGCCTCGTAACGCTTACTTCCTGTTTCCAGTAGGTGGCGCTGTGAGTATGACTGAATATTGGCATCTAGACGTGTTCAGGAGTCTTATCAGACATGAGAAGTTGGTTGAGATTGGACAAAGTACACTGAAGTTACGACAACTTCCTGTTTCATGGCGATACGTCACAAATAGCACAACTTCTGATTGTGATGTTCTTTAGATTGCACTGAACAAATATGAAGTCCATATGATCAGTTCCCTAGAAAGAGTTTGTTCAAGTACGACATCTGGGAATGGCAAAAAAAGGTGCCAAAATTGGACATTCATTTCAAAATGGCTGACTTCCTGTTGGGTTTAGAACATGGCTCTGAGAGGCTTTTTGTACCTCTGTTCATGATACATGTGTGGACTGGTTTTCCTAAATCTGTGTCCAATTTTGCCACACCCTTTTCACAAAACCAATATCACATGTAAAATTGAGTCAGATGAAGAAGATTGAGAAGTTTTATTGGAGCATGTTTGGCCTCCCAAACCGTTTTCAGTTTGTGCGTACAAAACCCTGAATGTGAACGCCTGAAATTAAAAGAAAAATGTATGTAAAATGTAATATTGCAGCTCTTATTGTGGGACAATCATCTTTTTTTTAAAGTCTCCAGAAGTGTCCAGTTCTGACTGCTCTGGGCTTCCATAGATTATCTCTCTCTATCTGTGTTTTTGCTCTTTTTGTCTCTTTCTTGGAACAGTGATAATCAGAAAAGTGAAGGTAACAGATGGACTGCTCTCACTGTGTGTGTGTGTGTGTGTGTGTGTGTGTGTGTGTGTGTGTGTGTGTGTGTGTGTGTGTGTGTGTGTGTGTGTGTGTGTGTGTGTGCGTGTGTGTGTGTGTGTGTGTGTGTGTGTGTGTGTGTGCGTGTGTGTGTGTGTGTGTGTGTGTGTGTGTGTGTGTGTGTGTGTGTGCGTGTGTGTGTATGTGTGTCTGTGTGCGTGTGTGTGTGTGTATGTGTGTGTGTGTGTGTGTGTTCTGTGTGCGTGTGTGTGTGTGTGTGTGTGTGTGTGTGTGCGTGTGTGTGTGTGTGTGTGCGTGTGTGTGTGTGTGTATGTGTGCGTGTGTGTGTGTGTGCGTGTGTGTGCGTGTGTGTGTGTGTGTGCGTGTGTGTGTGTGTGTGTGTGTGTGTGTGTATGTGTGCGCGTGTGTGCGTGTCCACAGCGTGTCATTTCCGTGTGTTGTTCAGAAATAAACACATCTTGCGTGTTCTTCATGTGTGTCCCGTTAGCTCTCAGTGCATATGACAGCACCGCAGGAGGAGAGACGAAGCTGCCAAGATCACTCCTGTCTGAGTGTGTGTGTGTGTTGATATACAATAATAGAAAACACTCGGGGAGTTCACACCTCCGCCAGAGCTGCACAATCCCCTAAATTTGCTGTTTTAACAAGAGATTTAGAAACTAGGCCTCATGCAGCAACATTTCATTAAAGCCGGTCGACGAACATTAAACAGCAGCAAACATTCAGACATCGTTTAATTTTATTTTATAAATTTAACTAAAATAAGAACCTCATTGTACAAAAGTTTGATCAGCCTCAGACCTTCATCAGCTGGTTGGGTCTGATCAATAGTTCATCAGCTGCTGCCAGTTTGAACCTTTACAAACACCCAGCCACCGTAGGTTTCCCTCAGCAGCTGTACGGCTCATAATGAACCTTACTGACGTCCACAGCAGGAGAACACTGCAAGACGATTCCTCAGAGGAAAATGTGATTAAGAGACGGAGGTTTAAGGGAACTGTGGAGGTCCAGATGAGATCTTGAACCTCTGAGAGAGAACTGCCCTACACTACATGGAGGTTCTGGAGTCCACATCATAAAGTCCAAAGTCAGCACATCTACAGAACATCTACAGAAGCCTGATTGGAAACAAGAGTTTGGAGAAAAAAGGAGCTGCATCTCATATAAAGAACTCCTCCCAAACTGTTATACATGGTGGATCCATCAGGCTTTGAGGTCATGTTGCAGCCAGAGGCACAGGAAACACTGCACGGGTGGAGGGAAGAGTGGATTCAATACAACAAATTCTGGATAATGATCCTAATTGTACTTTGAAATCCACCACGGACGACCTCCAGAGACCCAGCGGCCTAAAACGAGCTGTGAATGCAAGACACAGAATTTAGAATTCAATTTATTGCAACTAAAGGAGTCAAAGTAGGAAGAACATATGTGGAGTAAAAACAGCACTGATACTCTCACTTTCTGCAGAGTCATTCTCCTTCACGGGTTTAAAACTCACGACTCGTACAGCCTCGTTATCTTTTACTACCACTGAGGATCACTTTACTGTCTGCTCTCCAGTGTTTGTGTCAGTGCTGCACGGTTAGAGTTACTGGTTGCCAGGGTTAATACAGCACTGGGAGTGGTTGCTTCCCAGTCGCAGTGTCTAATTGTTGCGGGTGTCTGTTTCACCGCCCTGTGAGTTATGTAACTTCCACTCTAAAGGCTGGTTTTCCCTCCTGGCCTCACACACTGTAGATTAACTGGAGCTCTGTGGAAACCAGTTGGTCAGAGTCGCTGTAAAGGCTCCAACGAGTTTATAGTCAGTAAAATCACCAAAATTTGAAATTACATATTACCTATAGCAGATGAAAAGCACTGGATAATATGAAAGCTTCTATATGTTACTGTCATTAAACTGATGTTATCAGTGCCACCACACCGCGCAGCCAAGACACAGCCGCTACATCATTTATTGTTGGCTTAAATCCATACCGTTTTTTAGAATACATAAGTTGGTATCATGGCTCACATGAGCAGCTGCTGTAAACTGAATATTTTGGCGCTCCGAGGACGCGACCTTGAACTCGAATAATCGATTAATTGTCGTTTTCATCAGGATGAATCACACTGCTGTATTTTGTCTGCAGGAACTAAACACATCGGTCACTCCTGCTTTGGTTTCTTCCCGAATGTTGCTGACCTTATCAGAGCTACAGATAGGCTGAGAGTTGACAGGTCTGAGCGAGTTCCCGCTGGGACACGACCGCACAGCCTGCTGATCCAGTGAAACCTCCCTCAGGCCGAAGCAGAGAGCTTCATCACACTAACTCGCCCTGACGCCAAGAATTCAAAATCACCACTGCAGCACATTCAAGATTTATGAAATTTATAAAAAGCTTTGAGCGGGTCCCTGAACACACCACAGAGGCCCGGCTGAGTAATCTGTTCACTTGTTGCCTGTGATGATGACTCTCTCCTCTTCCACTTTCTTCTGCGGCAGGAAGTGAAACTCGGCGTGGAGGAGAGCCGGGCTCTGAGGACTCGGATCCAGCTGGCCGAGGCGGCTCAGAAGCAGGCGAGGGGCATGGAGATGGACTACGAGGAGGTGATCCACCTGCTGGAGGCCGAGATCGCCGAGCTGAAGACCCAGAGAGTGGAGCAACCGGCGCAGACCAATAAGGTGAATCTTTGTCTTCAGTTTAAAGGTTCCACATGTACAGTGCCACACTAGCTACGTTAGCTTATACACGCTGTCTGCTAACCAAAGTCCAAATTCAAAGCTAACATTACTGCAAAGCTTCTGGAATATATTGTCATATCGGCTAAAATGTGCTTGTTTGCTAATGCAAACAGATTGCTACCTAGCTACCGTACTGTTTCACCCAGACTCCTGGGATGTCATTATGTTGGCGGGCTGGTTAATCTTAGCTTGCTCACCCGCTAACGTTATCACTAGCAAAATACTTTCTGAGTGGATATGTAACTTGGCTAACGTTAGCTTCCCCAGCTAACGTGATCCATAATACTGACTTGTGTATTCTTTAGCCAACAATAACTGGCGTAACGATACAAAGCTAACAGTGGTTTTCGTCCCAGGAGGACACGGAGGAGCTGAAGAAGAGAGTTGCCGTCCTGGAGTGTCAACTACGGAAGAGCGAAGCGGCCAAAAAGGGTTTTGAGATGTCAACAGGAAAACTGCTGAGTTTTGTGGAGGTAAAACCAGCGGATCAGTGAACGTATCTACTAACAAGAGTTTATCAAAGACTAACATTACGATCTGTCTTTAAACCACGGACAGCAAACAGACCAACAAAACCACATTATACACAAATACTGACGACACAAATTCTGATAATTGAGATGATAAAATATATGTGAGGAATGTCGGGAGGACGTTGAAACAACTTGTGTCGCTGAGACACGTGACCTCCTCTCCACCTGTAAGAGGACAGATTGTAGATAGATAGATAGATACTTTATTGTCCTTCACAGGAAATTTGTCACCGCAGTCTGTACATAGCTTTCAGACATACATACATAGATACGAGATACATATGGACACCACGACATAACAACAAGAATAAACACTTAATGCAGCACATTTAGCACATTTACCCCTCCCTGTCCTGTGCTTAGCACTCACTCACGGCTGTTACCACCTCGTTTAGAGATGCTATGGCAGAAGGTACAAACTCCTGCCATAGTGAGCACGTTTACAGGCCAGAGTCCTGTATCTGCGTCAGGATGGTAGCAGTGCGAATAATGAGTTGAGGGGGGGCTGGGGCGTGTGCTATACTGAGTGCTCTGTGTGTAATGGCTGTATTGTTGAGGTCTGAGAGGTTGGGGGTGGGCAGTTAACATGTTGTAGAAGCAGGTTGAACAGTAGAGGATGACGGGTTGGACTATACTTTTATAGAGTAATAAGAGAAGTTGGGGGGCAACAGAAAGTACTTTGAGTTTGTGGATGGCAGAGAGTCTTTGTTGGCAGCGTTTGTGGATGTCACTGGTAAAAGTTCAGTTTATTGTCCAGGGTTAGTCCGAGGTATTTGATGGACTCTACAATCTCCACAGATTCACTGTTGATCATTGTGGATGAGGTTGTGTGCTGAGCTGTGGATGCTGGAGGTGTTGATGATCAGTTCTTTTGTTTTCTTAACATTGAGTTCTAGATGACTGTTTGTGTACCATTGTGTGAAGTGGGAGATGGAGTCCTGGTAGCTTAAAACAGAATTATTGTCGTTGAGGAGTGCAAGTATGGCAGTGTCATCAGAGTATTTGATATATGTGGTGACAGGTGAGGGGCTGGTGCAGTCATTGGTGTACAGGGTGAACAGAAACGGGCTCAGGACACAACCTTGTGAGGCTCCTGTGTTGGTGATGATGGTGGAGGATGTAGCAGTGCCCACTCTGGAGGGATGCTGAGGTGGTGGAGTTTCCTGATCATCTGATGACGCTGGATGGTGTTAAAAGCAGAACTGAAATTGATGAAGAGGATTGTGGGGGAGTTGCTGGGTGATTCTAGGTGCTGTAGGAGGGAGTGAAGGAGGAACGCCACAGCATCCTCAGTCCCCCTTTGGCCTTGTAGGCAAACTGACACAGGTCCAGATGTGGTTCAACAAACGGGTGGATGATGTTAAGTGTCAGTTTTTCGATGATGGAAGTGCAACGGGCCGGTAGTGATTAAGAAGATTAAAGATGACAGCAGGACGCTGAGCGTCTTTAGATTCAAGTCAAAGTCAGTTTGAAGAGATATTTTCTTCCTGCAGGATCACAGTTAATGTAAGAACACCTAGAATTTCATTCATCTTTTGTTTTTGTTTGTTTGTTTGCAGAACGTTCAAGAGTTCCTGCTGGAAAACCACGGACCCACGAAGAGCTACAGGTAGTGTGTGTGTGTGTGTGTGTGTGTGTGTGTGTGTGTGTGTGTGTTGAGTGGCTAATCGACAGCCCGCTGTTTGTTAGCGACACGGCGGCTATGCTAATGAGTCAGATTTGATAAGTGTGAGCTGCTAAACTGGTTGCTAACGGCAACCAGCGCCTCTGTGTCTTGTGTGTGTTTCAGGATGTTTATATCTGTGTGTGTGTGTGTGTGTGTGTGTGTGGCATTACATGAGTATATGAGGGTGTTTGTTGTTGTTGTTGTTGTTGTTGTGTTTGTGCTCACTGATTTGTGGACAATAACATGGCTGATAGTTTGTGTTTGTCAGATTAGATTTACTGTTTGTCGACCGTACGCAGTGTTATTGATTTTCAATCTCGCTAGCATAGCGTTAGCTCTCTGGCTCGCAGGTATATCTGTGTGTGTGTGTGTGTGTGTGTGTGTGTGTGTGTGTGTGTGTGTCACATAATGAGAGATCCTGCAGAGAGCAGAGCCCATTAGCCCAGTTAACACACACACACACACACACTGAGTGGTCCAGCTTGGCCCACTTCAGCCCAGGTAGGACAGCAGTTAGCTCCTGTTAATGGCCGCCCGCAGCGAGCAGCGGCGTTATGAAACGTCTCGACCTGCAGTGAGAGTGTGAGGTCACTGCGAGTCTTTAACACGTCGTCCTGCTTCAGTTTCCTTCCTCTTTCAGTCCATTGTTTCCTTGTTTCTTCCAACCTTTCTTCCCCTCCTTTCCCCAATTCTTCACTTTTCTCTTCCTTCATTCATTCATTGGTTCCTTAAACATTTTTCTTTCTTATGTTTCCTTCTTTTCTTTCTCTTTCTACCCTTCATGTCTTTCTGTCCTTTAGTTTTTCTTTCCTTCTTTCACTTCCTTCCTCTCTATCCTTCTTCCATTCCTTATATGATGTCTTTCTGTCTATCTCCTTGATTCTTTACCTTTTCTTTCTGTCTGTCTGTCTGTCTGTGCCTTCCTCCTTTTCGTTCTGAAGTTCAGAGACAGAACTTGAGCTCGAGTTATCGGCTCCTTCTGGTCGGTTGTGTAAGTGTGATTCTGTAAATTGGGTCAGTGGGTCATGTTATTAAGTCACCTTCAGCGTCCTCCCGCTGGTTTCCTTTCATTTCAGTCCAGGTCAGTGGGACACCTCGACTCTCCTTTCATAACCCCCTGCTCGTGGTTTTCTTTTGATTCACCTGTCCGTCTGTTTCTAGGCCACACGTAAGAGCCTCACGGACACTAAAATAAGTAACGATAATTAATGTGCAGGAGCAGTTCGATCACTTCCTGTTTATTATAGCTGCTGATTATCATCAAATGAATAGTTAAAGTAAAAGTATATTGAACGTCTGATTAACTGATTATTGTAATTGCAGTTAGTGTACGTAACAATTTAAGCTTCTTTAATCCTGATCATATCGTTTTAAATGTAGTAATTCAATTTACTGTTTCCTGTAAAAACTGGGACTTGTTGCTGATATTGATTAGTGTTTACAGCAGCTAGCGCTATGAGCTAGCGTCAGCGTCTACCTTCCAGTGAACGCAGTCGAGAACACGATCTTTGAGACCGACAGGGAATCCAGCACCGAGGTGGTTTTCCTGCCGGGTTTGGCTTCTGGCATCCCGGGGCGGCGTCAGTTAGCTTCGCTGCCAACGGCTGACCGAGCTAACAGCAGCGGTTGGCTACTGATCAATCTGTCCGTCAGGAACTCTGTAAACGACCTCGGTGCTGTATTCACCTGAACTGTAAAACCAGAGAAGTAAATTTGAAAACTAAAAAATGTAACTTTCTTACTAACTAACTTCATTTTGTAGATTTTATTTGTACTGTGAAAACCAAATAGCTAGTAAAAAGTATTTTTCTTAACTTACAACATTTAGTTTGTTGAGTTGAAATAACTAATCATATTACATTGATGTCGTGAAACCAAAACCTCCTTTTTATGGATGAAATATGACGTCAGCTTCAGTCCAGTTTGTTATTTCAACCCTTAAATAAAGGCTCATCCTACAGAGGACCTGTAGGCTGCCGGTTCACTGAGGGCGGCGTTCATGAGCTGCTGCTCCACTTTGTTGTAATAAATGACTCTGATCTGCCCATTCACTCCCAGGTAATTAGTTTTTTGATAACTGAATATTACTCCCATTAAACCCATTAGTCATCCTGACTCCAGCGCTGTAATAAAGAACAAGGTTGGGAGAAAATAAAATATCCCTCAGGAGAGAAAATTTCATAAGTTTCGGAGCCGAGAGATAATAAAGTACAAACTCCCGTCGGCCATGAAAGCTGCGTTCATCCTGTGTGTGAACGAGCTTCTGAATAACAGCTGCAACCATGGCGACGTGGTCACTTCAGCCGCTCCACAAAGTGTTTTTAGCTCCCTCCATCCTTCAAACAGCTGGTGTGAGTTTATTCATCAGGATGTGACAAACGGACATCAACAAGCAGCTTCATGAGTGATATATAAAGCTTTCAGTGCAGAGAGAAGTGTCGGGTCGCTCCTCCAAACCTCTAAAGCATCACGAGAGGCTCTTGTGAACAGGTGGTGGGTTTTTTTCTTTTTAATTATCTCTGTTTCTGCGTTCCTGGAAGCTCATCAGCTCAACACACAACAGCCAAAAGATCTTACAGCAGTGTTTAATAATCTCAAACACAAATGTTCAGGCGGTCAGATATTGAGTAATGATCATCAGGATTTGCTCCTAAACTTTTGCAAATGTTTAAATAAACAATCTGATAGTATTTCCTATCTTTGAGAGTGTTGTACAAAAGGAATTAAAGGCCTTTTCAAAATAAAAGCCGGTTGAGTTCAGTGACTGAAGCAAATAATTAAATAGTTTTATGGCCCTAAAGAAATCTTCAGCCATGCAACCGGCTTATACACCAAACAGTTATATAGTTTAACTTTGACCTGTTGCAGGAACTAATTAGCCTGTTTGCATAATCAACTATATGGACAATATTTCAGCACATTTCGACTGCTGGTGGGCCAAAATCAATATCATCTGATAATCTATAACAAAATACTACACAGCAACTTCGCTAACTGCTAAAAGAAGATAATGGTCGCCAACAGTAATGTTAGATGCCGTTAGCTCGTGCAGCTAACATTAGCCAACTTAGCAGGAGCACAGATTTGGCTTCGGTGACAGGTCCCTCCCTAACTGCCTGTTAGGGAAATACGTAAATATGAGGAAGCAAACAGCTCTCTGATTCCTGTTTCAACTGGACTTTAAATGATTAATTTTTAGTTTGTGAGCAGAATAAGAAGACGATTGTGGATCCACACTGAGGTGATGTGTTAGATGGAAGGAAGAAGGCAGCTCAGACAGGACGTCAGGGCTCTGAATTTGGCAAAACCTTGCAACAAATAAAAACTGTGAAACGCTCATGGCCACGTCTCTTTTTCACTGCCGTCCTTTCTCTCTTTTTGCAGCTCCGGAGACGTTAAGGTCGGAGCGTCATCTCAAGGCCTCCCTCCTCGCTACAAGAAGAGTCCCTGGACTTCGGCTACGCTCGCCCAAGAGGCCAAGGAGCTCACAAGGACTGTCAGAGCCATCCTGGAGGTGGACTGTAAGTGATCTCCGCTATCTCTGCTTGCCTCCACGCATGGCAGGTCTGCATGTCCTACTCCTCCTCTCCGTCTCTGTGCTACCCTGCATGCGACTCTCACCGGATGAAACTGATCCTGCCAACCTGCTGTTGTGAGTAACTGTCCTCCCCATTTCAGTGCTGACCTTCTAGAGGACCCGACTGTAGGAGAACAAAGTCAGCAAGGCTCTGAGACGTCGGCAGGAAATCAACAGCCAACCGTGAACCCGAACACTTTCTTCCCTGACATCTCCTCAGTACCTGCTAGCAATGGACTCTTATCTCTGCATGAAACACTGTTTTGTTTCTGTCAATCAGCACATATCACTGCACAGTTTCTGAATAGTCAGTACAAACTAAACAGTGGTTTTATTCCAGCAGTTTAACCTGAATAATGTGGAAAACAAACTCATTGTACAAGTTAACAGTTTTTAATGGATGCTCGTTTCTCAAACTGCAGTTTTATATGAAAACATTGCTTGAAACAATCAGTTCCTGTTTTACAGTATGGAGGAGACCATTGTAAAGTTAATGGACTACATGAACGTTTAAGCAGTTTGTCCATTGGTCACTTTATAAATTAAGTGATGAGAGTAAAAACTGTCAGGTGACAGGATGTTGATAAATTTCTTCCGTTGACCGATTGCAAACTGTCTTGAGTCCAAACGGAGGAAGCTGCTGTAGCTGAACTGTTAGTAGACAGGATCCAGTGGTCCATCTTGTCAATAAACTGTAACAAGTTCCAGTACAAGAAATCAGAAGCTCAATCCAGGTTAGCCATTAGCCATTGTTAGCAATACCGGTTGATACCAACGCATTACGCTGTGTTTTATACATAAACAGAAGATGGACAGTAATGAGACACAATAGAGCTAATAAACAGAATTCAGCTTTCACTCAGTTTTCAAGTCAAGGTTGGTGAGGTTCTTCGGACTTTGATCTTGGAAATTCCGACTTTGGAGTTAAAATGGATGCACCATTATTGTCCCATGGGCTAACGAGGTAACTAGCTAACCAGCTAGTTCAGGACAAGGGCTGTGGAACCAGTAGGGCCCAAACATCAAACATGTAAAACATTTAATTGCTCTGTAGCCTTTTACATACAGTCTATGGTAGCCACATATACCATAGTGTGTGCCTATGATGAAGCAATAAATTCTGCTATCCAAAATGCTAATTGTGTCACATATATCAAACCTTTCCCATTCAAATGCTAGCGGCCTGACACTGCCCTACTCCACCACTTCGTTAGCTTTAAAGTTTTAAATGATAATCAAGGAGTGTAAAGATTTACTGATATGAGTCGGTTGTAGATGCGACTACATCGGTAAGCGGACCCCTGGTTGGATCTAAATGTACCAAGAAACGGTCGATGGTCTGATTCTAAAGTTATGAATCTGTTGACTGAAGCTTTGCTGCTAACAGCGTCTCCACTCTCATGAAAGGTAAAAGGTCAACACCAGGGTCTCGCAATGAGACAAAGTCCTGTGGATGCTAACACAGCTAGCACAAGCAAGAACTTGCAATATATTAAACACTTTTCAGCCACGACTGAGCCCCAACAGGGCGAGGTCGAAGGTAATCACTGCAGGAAGTCGTAGGATTCGCTGGTATTTTATAAAATGTATATATTTGAAGGTAAACACTGTCACTTTTATAGAATTGGCTTATTTTTAATTTAGAATGTAAAATAAATGTGTACATTAAATAAATGTTAAGAACTGTATCAGATTGCATTATATCGAATTGTTCCATATTAAAATGCATTGTACATTAATTTTATCGTAGCTCATGTATCTGGATACGTCTTACATGGGAGAGAATCACAGTCCTAGCAAAGAGCTTTTTCTACAAAAGTTCAGCTTTACACAGTCAACTTCCCAGCTATCTAAACTAAACACTGGCTCTAGATAGGAGCACGCTGGACCTTTTAAGCTAAAAGTGTTTAATATAGTGCCAAAACACTTCAGATCATGGGTAAAGTGAGCAATGGACAAAACTCCCAAAACGTTGGTGTAGTTCCTTTAAACTGTACCCAACCTCCGTCTCTTTAGCAATAAAAAACATTTAACAAGCAATACGAAACACAATGAAACTGTACCGTCACAATATCATATGATTGCCATTTACCGTAGCCAACAGTTAACACAGGTCGACCGTAGCTTTCTGTCTGTCTCACTGTTATCTAATCAATGTTAAGCTTTGTGTTTGAGTGGCTGAATGCTCGTGTTTGTGCAGTAGATTAGCCAGCAAAACAAAGCCTAGAAGCATCATCAAACAATACGGGAGGAGAAACCCTGAAAACCTCACTCACCTCCGAACGCGAGGTCAGGAAGGAGGAGGCTAACGGAGCCATCGCGGTCTGATACCAGGACAGTTCCAGCCTGATTGGACGCTTTATCATGTTTGGAGTTATTTGCTGTTTGTCCTTCATCTTTTTCTGAGTAAATATTCTGAAACAAACTATCTTCATATCAAGAGTTGTTCTTCGTGACGAGCACCAGACGTTTGAAGCTCTGTGTAAAGTCTCGTTATGATTTCTGGATCAATGAGGCTGTGATTGATTTAATGGAGTCAAAACAGTTAAGAATTGAATTTCAGTTGTTAATACGACTACTTTAATAACTGCTAAACAGAGTTTGTTTGAGAAGACTTCGTTAATCTGGGCAACCAATAGTGTTAAAGGTTGGTTCAGAGTTCTGTATACTGTAAAACATCATTTACATTTTAGCCTGTAACCTTTAAACCGTAAATCTCAGAAACAAATTTAGATTTTTGGGCCATTCTGAATTTTGACTTTCTGAGTTATTGTCACCAAATTTGGTTCAGATGACCTGTAGAAATAATCACTGTTTCAGATTTTTGATATTCTGGACAGTTTTGCTTTAGCTCACCCTAAAATATCTCATATCTCCTGAACACTGTTGGGACCACATTTGGTTGGATTGTAGATATCTGTGAATACGACAGGTTTGGTACCATTTGGCTAATATGTGGAACAGAGCGACTGACACGTTAATAATTTGTGCTGGTAAAATAAAATCGATTATATTTACGGCCTGGGCAGCAAACGTATTGAAGAACTATTGAAGTGAAAGGTTGGCCAAAAGAATAAAACATTTTGGCGGCTGCAAAATCCTCGAAAACTCCTGAAACAGGGCACAAAATTTCGGGTTCTTTGGTTCTCGCACATGGGTGTGGTGAAATGGCTCAAGAGCATCTTTGTCGTTCGTTTGGCGTGTCGCGGGAATTTAATGTTCGCCATAAACAGGAATTTCTTCACTCAGTGTACTTGTCAGTCTAACCAAACTTCACATATCGGTTAAGGGTCCCACCCTGAACACATCTTCATGCAAATATTCAGTCATAAAAGCGAAAGGGAAGCCGCGATCAACATCATTACAACATTTTCATGGTGTCGCCTCGACGTGCACAGACTGCGAGGCCCTGTTCATCGCTGCTTGCAGCTTGAATTTTTAAGTGAACTTGAAGGCAACACAATTTGTCTTCTGCAGGCAGGATGTGGGATTTTGACACAGTCACCTAATTTCCCTCCGTCAGTGGGAGGACGTGGGCACAGTTACATAATTAACAGCCGTGATTCAAGATCAGGCGTCCTCCATCCCTCACACCGTCCTGTTAGAGGTAATGATGAAGAAGGAACAAAAGCCAGCGCAGAGAAAGTAGGTCAGACTAATCCAGGTCTCACATTTTGTGTACATCTGGAGTGAGTGTGTGTGTGTGTGTGTGTGTGTGTGTTTTACAATCACCTGTAGCTCGTCTTCATCGCAGCCCTCTCGTTGCCTGGATACGTGTTTTGCTTTTAAGCTTGTAACTGCAGGAACCTTTGTCTTCTTCATTCACTGCCAGTTAATCTGATCAGGAGCACATCCACCCGCCCACACACACACTCGCAGACACACAGACACACACAAACACACAGACACACACAAATACACACACACACACACTGGCAGACAGATTGCCTGATAAACAATCAACAGAAAGGCTTCAGACTGAGCAGTTTCAGACTTAGTTCATCGATTCGTCGTTCGCGAGCAGCATCTTGGACACCGTTACCATGGCGACCGTGTCTCTTCCCAGGACTTCAATTCAAACACAACTAGTGTGCACTCACCAAAATATGTTCCAGGGGTAATGGATTCTGTCTGGGTTTTTTCTTCATCGAACACGTTCGCCGCCAACGTGTTTCTTCAACCTGAGGCTGGTTAATGCTGCACAGTAAAAGCAACTGAAGTCGCACTTATTGTGAATGACTCATCACTCATAACATTTAGAAATAAGTGGGTAACAACCTGCCGATTCTGAACTTTAAAGGTTCTTTAGAGTCTTTAGAAACAGAGCTTAATGTTGTGTAAAAACTTGTAAACTGGCACCAAACTGCAGAGTCCGCAGAGCTTCAACCGAAATGATGAAAGTAGAGCAGCACAGAAATCAGCAAAACATTTGGTTGAAAAACGTTACATTTAGTTTACTTCAATCACTTTGTAATAGTGTTTTATTGGAATAAAAGCGCCACCTAGTAAGAGATTTTGTACAGCTCCTCAGCAGTGGGTCATAGGAAGATATTTAAACTTTTGCGTGTTTAAAAATGCTAAAAAACGAGAGGAGCAGAAAGGAAATAAATAGTTTTGCAGGCGGCATGTTTCTAGCTGTGTGTGATTGGCCAATAAACGGATCAATGGAAATTGTTTCACGCTGACTGCAGTTCACTGAAGGGCCACTGGTGGCACTGTTACTACAGTTTAATCAGAGAGAGTTACATATAGAAGCTTTAATACGTCAGATAAAACATACCATTAAATTAATAAAACTAGTAAAGGAAATCAGATATTAGGTTTTTCTGTAGCTCTGCTCAATAATAAAAATGATAATAATAATAATAATTAGTGTTCTTCCACATATTCAATGACCATGATGATTATTGTTTGATATCCAGGTCCCAGACGCTGATTTCTTAAACTGTGTTTTGCCTTCGCTCGGCTGATATCATCTTAATCAGTCGCCTCTGAATCTGTTCAATATTCTGCATTATTAATGTTCAGAGTTCAGCAGGTTCGTGCAGTTTACAGCCACCGAGTTCACACCGACACACTCACTAACACATACAGTGTATACAGTCACGCATACTGAGGGCATTTCCACAAGACTGGGTCTGTGTTATCAGGATCAAACTTTCATTATAAGAAACATTTAAATGCTGATTTTCACACTCAGCTCAGTCTGTGATTTTATGTTCACAGTGTGGGTTATAAACTGATAGTGTACTGTGTGTGTCTTCAGACAAAATTAAATTATTCTAGCATCTTTGTGAACTGGTGACATATAATCGTACCTCACACTGGAGCAGCGGCCTCCTGACACTTTATACTACTATTTTAATTACTAACATCATGCTTTAATGTAGTTTCTGTACTTTTTATGTCATTATATAGCAGCCAAACAAACAAAGGCTCTCGTGCTCTCTGCACACATTTGCAGGAACGTTTGCTGTTATTTTGCACCAAACTTAATCCAATGTTTTAAAACTGTGTTTTTATGGTAATTGTATGAGAAGGGTTAGATTGAGGCTGTTTCAGCCCTCCAAACCAACTCAGACCCCTCTGAAACGAACCTGTCTAACATTTTAGATTTGTGTTGAGTTTATATAGTGACTAAACCTTACTGTTGCTGCTCTTGAAACAATATTTAGTTATATTTAATATATAAATCATTTTTAGGACATTTTTCTTGCTAATGTCTGAGAGTAATGTGAGATACTACAACCTTTATTATTTCTTTTTAAATAAATACTGTTGTGATAATAACCTAAAATGATGTGCATTTTGTAGCTTTTAGTCTAATAACATCAACATTACCACAGCCCCAGAGCCATATGGACCATTTATGGTTGTAATAATGATATTAAACTATTAAACGTCACATTAAGATTTCAAAGTCATTGTAAGGGCTGATATTTTATTGATGTCGTCTATTACGTAAGGTTTATTGGTTGGGTCTTACGCACGTGTTGAGCCTGTAATTTAGCTGTAAGTTCCTTTAAATCTATGGTCTTTATAGCAAATTTAACTTTTTTACAGGTAAGGTGGGAGGAGTCGGGCACCCTTTGGGCACCACCAAATATGTGAAAATGCATAGTTTTTAGTCAAATGACATCACAATTGTTTGTATGAATGAATGACTGAAAGAGCAGAGGGACTACAGTGTGAACAGATTGTATGAAATAAAAAATGTTAGATTTAGATTAGCCTGAGGGAAGGGGTGTAGTTTAAAGTCCCTGCACTCACTGTTAAAAGCACACAGGTGTATGAAGGTGCAGCATAAAGAAGGTCTGCGTATGGAGGAGAACGCTGTTTGACTCCCGTGTAGAAACCAAAACTTAAGTGAGTAACCTAACTTCAGATTTCTTTCCTCAAACTAACCAAACTGTGACTTCAGCAAACTTTATTTTGAAAAAATAAAAGTTATTCTACATTGAACTCTCTCGCTGTCGTTATAGTTGTTGTGTGGATGATTGTTATGTGAATATATTTATAGTTATTGTTATTTGTGTGCCCCTTAAAGCTCCAGTGATCCAGATTGTAAATATATTTGGATTTTAAACATTTGAAGATCTGAAGCCTTTAAAAAATATGAATTTATGATAATAAAGACACAAAAAGTTGCAAATAGTGACAAAAACCCTCCAAAAACTACATCCAGTCT